GATATGGTATGTATGGCTGACGATCCCAAAATGGGAGTGTCTGCACGAAGCCAGCCTCCAAAGTATGGGGGTTTAAGGCTATCACAAGGATATAGTCGTCTACGGGACGTATAAACCTCCAGTGTATGGAAATATTGCTTTATACGCAAGACTATTGAAATGTGTTATAGCTTGATTAGTTAATCCAGCTATATGTTTGTTAGTGTCTAGAATTATGTGTTTTGATGAGCGTCAAATATTCATAGAAATATTAATTATGTTTCAGTGGGCAGAGATAATCTCCCTCACTGAGTTATGCATTGCTCACCCCTTTCTTTTCCTTTTCTCCAGGCCAGGATGAGAATCTTGAGTAGCTGCTCAAGTCTATTTTGTTTCTTGGTGTTATTTAGGGACACGGATTTTATTTCATTTTACTCAGAAGACCGTTTTTCTCTAAGTATTATTCTGTGGGTTTTATGAGATTTTAGTATGAAGGTTTTATGACTTTGATGAGATTTTATAAGGATTTATTTCAATAAAAAAAATTTCCAAAAATGATGGTTTAAAAGAATGTTTTAGAAATAAAATGTCAATGTGGTTATGAAATGAGGTAACGGGGCGTTACAAACTTGCCTTGATTTTCACATTTAAGTATTTTTCATAGTTTCTCAAGTTGGATTTTCAATTCCATCTTATATGCTTTGAATTTTTCCATAGCCACATTCTTGCATTTCAGCAAATAAAAAAATAATCTATCACAATAGATTTCATTGGATGTAGCATAGTAATGCCACCATTCCATTCGAGTTTTTCCAACCAGGTAGACTTCAGAAACTACAATACACCTGTTGATTTTAGTCAGACTGGTCTGAGATTTCTCAATGTCTCTGCTGAGTCAATTTTGCTACAACATTCGTCAGCATTGCTACAACAGTTGACAAGTATATATACAAACTTTCTGAAGTGAATAAAATGAAATAGTTGAACAAAAAAATCCAAATCAAAATGATCAATGATAAACCTGTTCTCGGAAAATTCTAAAATATTTAAAACATTCAGAATTTAATCAGATTAAATGCAATGACATCTAAACAATTTAAAACATTTGAATAAATTGTAAGCATTTTCAAATTATTCTCCAGTTATCAATAAAAGTGGGAAAATTATAAATAAATTAAGAAATATTTTCTGAATTTTTGTTGGATGAACAACAAAATTCAGAACTAATAGAACCTGAAACGGATCAAAATAATTTGATCTGAGACCGATTGAATACCAGATTCATGTTCTTAAAACAAAAATACTTCACAAAATCATCACTTTTCATTAGTGCAAACATAAACAAAAGTTACAGAATTAAGATTCTTGGAATGCAGTTACTACAATTGGACAGACTGAATATTTATGAAGAAATTACATAAAATAAATCAATAAACATAATATAAAATGATACCGATTAAACAAGAATTTAGGAAAACAGATTGCAGAATCAAGATATGGTAATTTCTTTCCTCAATTCTGTAAATGATTCCGTAGTGTGACGGTTGCATGGCAATCCGAATCCCAGGATACAACTGCATTATTCTTATGGTTCGCATCACCCTCAATTCATAAGCTTTCAAACCCTTTCTGTGTTGTACTCTCAAAGTGAAAAAAAAACAAAGAAAAGAAAAATACAAGAAGTGTATGAAGATTGTTGTTTTATGTACTTTTTATAAAGAATGAGAGAGATGAGACTTTTTAACTCCATCATGGTCCATAATGCTCATTAATCTCAATTAATATTGAGTCATTATGATTATTTGAAAAGTTACAAATATGATGAAAATTAATTATTTAATTGTAGAAAATATTTGACTTGACCAAGTTTTTATTCTCATTTGACTAAATGAATTATTTATTTTTTACCAAATTAAAATTTATGTAATGATCAATTACACAAATAATAATTTGATACAAAATAAAGGTTATTGGAGCAAATCTCATCTACCATGAATCCACGTCTAAACCCAAACACGAGCCTGAGCCACTTTCGACTCATCTCGGTGCACGCGCATGTGATTTAACATGGATTTACTATTCTCTAAAATTGTCCTAAGATCTTTAACTTTGTAAGGACTTCTCCACAATTTCTACTCATCCATTTTTTGTCTTTCAAGCAACAAACATTAGACAAGTATTTCAATTTAAACATATGAGTATATTCATAATTCGATAATTTCCTCGCGAATATGTCGGGAGTTGCCCGGAAATGAACCGACGTAACATGCCTTAAAATTTAGTTCCAACAAATAACTTGTTTATATTTTTTTAAAAAATATCTTACATTTCATGTTCACGTTAAATACATCCAATTTTATGTTATAACACAATTATAATATGGCGAAGTAATCGTACATCCAATCAGTTATTTCAAATAATTTTTTTAGGCTGTTTGAAATTGTATCTACCAAATTTATAAAACTATTTTTTCTGAGCTTATTTCTATGTACTTTTGTAGAACTTACATTATATATATATATATTGTTTTAATCAAAAGAAGCAATAAATGACAGTTATGGATAATAAACTTTTTACAAATGATGATGAATTTTCTTTATAATTTGATGAGATAGTTGATATATCCTCTACATGTTAATGGAAAATATAGTTTAATGAAAATTGCTGATTTGTTTAAATTAGATTGGTTAATATGTTTAGTTTGAGCAATTGCAATATGATATGAAAATAATGATGTGTAATGATGATGTAATTACGACATATCAGTTTTTAGTACACAAGGCTTGTGACCATTATTTAATTTATAAATAAAATTTTATGATAAAATTTTGATACAAAATTACTCAAATTGAGAAAATTATATTTTTGTCAAATCGATTTGAAATCACATTTTGACACAAAAAAATTTGTCAGAGAAATTTACGGATTTCAAGTATTTAACGGAAAATTTGTGGCAACCTATTTAGGCGGAATTTGTTTTGATATCATATTTTTGACATAAAATTTATCATGATATTTGGCAAAAAGTCACGAAATCAGATTAAAATACTCTAAAATATATGTTTTGGTGGAAAAGTTATAATTTCATGTTTTTGGCAGAAATTTTCTGAAATTGGGTTTAACGGTAAGTTTTTTGAAACTATATTTTTAAGTAATTTTTTGGCGAAAGATTTACGGTTTCACTTATTTGGGGAGAAATTTATGAAATCAAAATTTTGACTAGTAGTTTATAGAAACATATTTTTAATGTAAAGTTTTGGCAAAAAATATTTATGGATTCACTTTTTCGCGGGAAATTCACAAAATCTAAATTTGATAAAATAGTTTTGGATCATATTTTTGATGTAATGTTTTGGTGCGGGAGTTACTTATTCATATTTTTGGCAGAAAATTTGTGAAATTCAGTTTTTTGATGGAAATTTTTGAAATCTTATTTTAAATAAGTTTTTAGCAAAGTATTTGCAAGTTCAAGTGTGTGAAATTTGTGAAATCAGATTATTAATAAAAAATTTATTTACTTTTATTATCATCTTATCTTGTCCCACTATACATAAAAGACAAAAAATTATATTATATGTGAATGCATTCCAACTATATAGCGAGAATTATGAACCAGAAATGAGATGAAATATGACGGAATGAGATAAAAACAATAAAAAGATGTAAAATATGAATTAAAAAAAATAGAAAATAGACAATAACGAAGAATCATTTTATTTTATTTTACGGTTTTTAAAAGTATATTAAGTTTTGTGCATATTTTATTTTTTGCTATATACAATTTATCTAACCTATTTAATCATTTTCACAAAATAATTTTTTTTTTACAAATATATTTCTAAAAAATCCAATTACTAATTTATTATAAATGATATATACTATTATTAATTAATTTTTATTCAAATTTTCATGTCTGCACATATGTGCGAGCCAACTATCTAGTATAAATATACATGTGTAAATAATTTTTGATTTTTTTGTATTTTCATTTCTAGCTCTGATAGTTGTTATTCTTTTTAACTAAATATAAAAATTTCGGATCTTAAACTCCTAATCTCACTTAGTACCCGAAAAAGCCCTTTCTAAATTCATATACACATGATAGTTGAAACTTCAAAATTCCAACTATGTTGTTAATTAAAACTGTACCAATTCAATCAATTATACTAAAAAAAATCATATGGCATTAAACTCTCAAATCATCACATATGAATTTTATTTTGGAAATATAGTAAACTCTGGAATTTATTTAATTTACATATACCTCTAACTTCAAATTGAATTTTATTTAATATTTCCTATATTATTATAAGATATTCATATTAAAATATAACAAAATAGTATATGCATATAAAAATAGAAAAGGTAAGCTTGACCCAATAAAATATAATTATTGTATATATTTTCTTAGTATTTTTCTGTTTTTAAAATAAAATAGCAATAGATTTTGTGTTTATATGTATGACTAATTCATAGGATTTGCGTCATGGTCAATGTTTTACCCAATGATTTGCTTGTGACAATATTGTCCCCTGTCCCAACAAAAAATGCAAAAAATGCAGTGGCCAGTGGCCACAATAGTTTTATCTATTATAATTTGATGAGATATCGTTAATATATTTGTACATATGTATATAATTTTAGATTTCTTGTGTGTTTTCTTTTTCTACACATAATAGCTGAAACATGGAAATTCCAACTATTTTTTGTTAATTAATATTGTACCAGTTAAATCAATTGAATAAAGAAAACATATTCATAAAAATATTCAAATCATCACATATGTAAATTACACTTTGGAAATATGTTAAACTCTAATATTTATTTACTTTAGATATACAATGAACTTTCATTATGTGTTATTGATTTTTTTCCTATATTAGTTATTCATATTCAAATTTTAACAAGAAAATATATGCACATAACAAATACAAAACGTAAATTTTGACCACAAAATCTGTAGTTATTTTATAAATCTATTGATGGTCTTTAATATTTTTAAAATAAAGTAACAGAATATAATGTGCTTGTGTGTAGAACTAATTGATAACATTTGCGTCAAGATTTTGTTGTGTAGTTTCATGGAGAAGAGTACTCCAGACCTAGAAAATTGTCATGATGAAAACATGATCAATGATTTACCCAGCGATTTGCTTGTAAAAATATTGTCCCTTCTCCCAACAAAAGATGCAGTGGCCACAATGGTTTTATCAAAACAGTGGTTGTCTGTTTGGACAATGGTGCCGATTCTCACGTACAAAGAGAGCAACAATATTTCTGAAGGTGAACATAAAAGTGTGTGGCATTTTCTTGATATGTCATTGAAATTCCACAAGGCACCTATCTTAGAATTTTTTGATGTAGAACTCGGTCCACAATGTCCTGTTGATGTTGATGTTGGAAAGTGGATTATAAATGCTGTTGATCGCAAAGTGAGCAAACTAAGGTTCGAGCTCAAATGGTCAGCAAAGCCTATCAACTTGCCTAAGAGCCTCTACACATGTGATACACTTGTCTTTTTGAGTCTTTCCGACATGATCTTCGTGGATATTGTTTGTCCGGCTTTCCTCCCATCCCTCAAAACTCTTTACCTCATACATGTCGTGTATAAAGACGAAGATTCTCTTATTATGCTTTTATCGAGTTGTCCTCTTCTCAAACTTTTATTAATGGCACGATATAAGGAAGACAATTTGAAAAATGTCAAACTTAAAGTATCTTCTCTAGAAAACTTGTTCTATAGGCATGAACGTGATGATGATGTAGAAGATATTCAGGTATCTTTGGTTATCAATTCTCCTAGATTAAAGAAAATTTTCATACGGGATCCTTCCGGAGCCTCTTGCTCGATTGAAAATACAGATCGCCTTAATAAGGCAACTATATTTTCTTGTCAAACTGATGACAATTTTATGAGATATCCTTCTTCGCTCGTATGTCTTAATATAGTTTTGAATATAACAACGGTATGTCATTATGTTAATATTATCTCTTTCTCTCTGAATCTCACTTTTTGTTTGTAGTGAATAGTGATCGTATTTCCAACATCCACTTATGTGCGTAGTTATGTTCATTTCGGGTTGTATGTTGTACCACCAATAAGTTCCTTCAGCTTAAAAGGTTTTGGATACAACCATTACAGTTTGACTGGTTGGAACCATTTATTGTTTTACTTCAAAACTCTCCAAAACTAAAAGTGCTTCTTATTGACACGGTACGTACTCCTCCCTTACTTTAAACACGTATGCAATATTGAATGGAACAAAAGCTTGTGTAGATGGGTTAATATCTCTTGTATATTACCAGGACGATCCATATGATGATGTCCCCATTTCTTGGAATCATCCTGCATCTGTTCCCAATTGCTTGTTGACCCATCTTGAGATCTTTGAATGGGATGCTTATGGAGGAAGAAGTGAAGAGAAGGAACTTATGAGATACATCCTTGGCAACTCTTTGCGTTTAAAAAGAATTGCAATCTCCATTAAATCAACAAGTAAACTTGAATATAGAGAGAAGATGATGGATGAGTTAAAATCTATGTCCAGAATTTCAGAATCTTCTCAGCTTATGTTCAACACAAAACTTGTGCAAAAAGAACGTGTAATGCATGTTAAACCAGAATAAATTAATAGGCAACTTATCTACTATGAATGTATAATACTAAATTGTATCACCTCACCTGTTAGTCACAAATTGTTTGAATTTGTAAAAAGATTCTGATTTTTTGCAATAGAGTTTGTTTCGAAGATCCATCCAAAGCCTGCGTCAGTGCTATCAGCTTTCCATAATGCATCTGTTTGATATCGGATAGTATCCATCTCGATTGGATCCAGTAGTCCACGGATTCTCGAAGTGGATTTGGTTTTCTCTTCGGGCTGAGCTCCCTGCCATTCCCTTGCTAGAACCATTGCTTAGAGAAGATAAGCCATCGTAGAGGTATGAATTCCTTCGAAGACTCTTTTATTTCTTGTGATTCATAAGGTCCAGATAATCCATGGGAATAAAGGTCCCCTTGTTAAGCCTGTGAGAGGGAGACTAATAGCTTGTTTTGCAGTTTCTATACCCTGGCGGAAGTCTATGAGACGAACGGTGGTCAGTTGTGTCTTGAACGGTACATCATCCTTCACCTGAGTGGCAAAAGGGTATTTGAAAAAGGCGTGCACAGAGGTTTCTGCTTCACCACAGTGGGTACAAAGGCCAAGTGTATCTAGAGTTCTAGCTTGCATCGTGGCCTCCAGAGGAATTGCTTCGTTTATTACCCTCCAGAGGAAAGTTTTTGTTTTGGGTGAGCACTTTAAATCCCAAATGGTCTCTTTCCACTTGAAGTCTCGGATCCTTGCCGATTGCAGAGGCTGAAAGTTCTTTTCCTTTATGGCTTCAAAGTATCCTGAGCGTGTGCTATACTCCCCTATCGCTGTTGAGAGCCAAGCGAACCTATCCGGAGCACCTTTTGTGCTTGGCTTCAACCTCAAGATCTCATCCTCATGTCCCGGTAAGACCATTCTGATTAGGTCAGTGTTCCAGTTTCCATTGTCATAATCCATTAGACTGCTGACTGTGTAGTTCTTGTAGGCTTCTGGTGTTGGTCCCATTGGTGCTCGTGGCTCGGTTAAAGATAGCCAGGGTGTATCCCACACCTTAGTAGAGGTACAATCTCCTATGATTCTGCCTAGTCGTAGTTTGAGGAGATCCCTTCCTGCGCAGATGCCTCGCCAACCATAGGAAACCATTGGGGAGACGGGGCAGTCAAGGAAAGGTATACTCTGACAGTAAAATTTCAAGGAGGGTCCGAGCAAGAAGGCATTGCAGGTTTGTTAGTATGCGCCAACTGAGTTTTGCCAAGAGTGCATCGTTGAAACTCTGGATATCTCGAAAACCTAGTCCACCACCTTTTTCGATCTGGTAAGTCTTTTCCACGAGACCCAGCACATTCTTTTTTCACCTTTGTTTGAGTCCCACCAGAATCTGGTGAGAGTTGATTGAATCCATTTGCACAGAGATGCATGTAGCTTGAAGCATGACATTGTATATGTGGGGAGTGTTGTCAAGACTAATTTCAAAAGAGTGAGTTTTCCTGCTGGTGAGAGGAAGCGGGAGGACCAACTAACTGCTCGTTGCTTAATCCGATCTACGATGCTGCTGAAAATATTTTTCTTCTTTCTGCCGAAATACTCGGGTAAGCCTAAGTATTTCCCGAGTCTGCCTTCCTTCTGTATCCCAAATTCAATTTTTATTCGATCTCTTGCAGTTCTTGGGGTTTTTGCTGAGAAGTTGATAGCTGATTTCTGATGGTTTATAGCTTGTCCAGAGGCTTTCTCGTATTTGTGAATAATTTCCATAAGTGTCTTGCAGCTATAGCCATCTGATCGACAGATTAACATAGTATCATCTGCAAAGAGGAGGTGATTTATTCTTGGACTGCCCTTCGCAACTTTTATACCCGGTAGAGCTCCCTCATCTTGTGCTTTTTTGTAGAGTCCCAAGAGAACTTCGCTAGAGAGGATGAAGATAAATGGTGATAGAGGGTCACCTTGTCGGATTCCACGCTGAGGCATGACTATCCCTTGGGCTGAACCATTGACGAGGTAAGAGTAAGTGACTGTAGTTATGCATTGCATTACCCATTTGATCCATAAAGTGTGAAACCCGAGTCTTAGCATCACTGCCTCAATAAAGTTCCATTATATTCTGTTATAAGCATTACTCATGTCTGTTTTGTAGCATTTCTTTCTTGCTTTGGAGACCTTGAGATAGTGAAGATCTTTGTGTATGATTAGCACATTATCCGAGATAGCTCGTTTGGGGGCAAAGGCAGACTGGTTTTCGGATACAATGCATTGGAGGAGGGGCTGGAGTCTGCTAGTGAGGAGCTTGGAAATAATTTTGTAGTAGACACTGCATAGCGCTATAGGGCGGTAATCTGAGACTTGCTTTGGGCTCTGGACCTTTGGAATCAGCCTGACGTGGGTTTTATTTATGTTTGTTGGCAGGACTCCTGAGGAGAAAAAATCCTGTATTTCCTGAAGTATGTTTTCCCCCACTATCTCCCAGCTTGAATGAATGAAGCTTGCCAAAAATCCATCTGGTCTAGGAGCTTTATCAGCTTCAATGGATAAGCATGCCGGTTTTATCTCTTTTGGCGTTGGCAATGCAGTGAGGGACAAGTTCATCTCCGAGGTTGGATGGCTTCAAGCACAGTAGTAAGGCTGTTTCCTTCCTGTGATGTGAATATCTTTTGGAAATAGTCAGTAATGACTTGTAGAATTTCCTTTTCTTCGTAATGAGCTTGCCCTTCTTCGTTTTCCAGGACAGAGAATTTATTAGCTGCTTTCCGGTTTCGAGTGGAGACATGGAAGAAGCCTGTATTCTGGTCTTCCAGGGCAAGCCAGAGTTGCCGGCTCCTTTGTTTCCAGAAATCTTCTTCTGCTCGGTAAGCCACCTGCAGCTCTCTATTTATATCTGAAATGAGATTTTCATCTGCTACAGGGTTTGTCATTGCTTTCTATAGGTTTTGTCGAAGTTCCTCTATTTTTTTTTTACTGTTGAGGTGTTTTTCGCGGCACCAAGTGATGATTGCAGAGCGGCACCTTGTGAGCTTTAGGTCTACTGGCTCGGCCTCTTTCAAGTCCCATGCCTCACAGATAAGTCTTGTTACTTCCTCATTTGCACGAAGCATTCAATCGTATCTGAAAAGACCTTTTTTCTTCTTCCTTAGGAGATCAAGGCGGGTGACAATGGGTATGTGGTCTGAACCTTCATAGTTGAGGTATTCGCAGCTGCTACAGAGACATAGTCATCTGCCCATGAACCATTTAGCATGGCTCTGTCAAGGCGGCATCTCACCAGATGGCTATGTCTCTGTCCTCTCCAAGATAAGAAATCTCTCGTATGCTGGAGGTCAAAGAGATTACATTTTGACATAAAGATTCTGAAGTTTGAGAAGGATCCATCTGGTCTCAGTGGTCCTTCCCTTTTTTCTGATGAGTCTATGATGTCATTGAAGTCCCCAGTCAAGAACCAAGGCTCATCTCGGGCTTCGCCTAATCCAGTAGGAGTTTCTTAAACTGCTTTCCTTTTGGTTGTCTCTGGGTCACCATAGAAAAAATTTGCAAAGAAAGTTTTTCCTTTTGCTTTAATACTTGTATCGATAAAATTTTGGCGTGTGTGTAGGATCTCGATGTTGATGTCTTGCTTCCAAAAGAGTGCAAGCCCCCCCCCCCCTCCAAAGGAGTTTTTCCAGGACCGCAGTATCTGGATTTTTTGTCTCGGAGAGAAAAACAATATCTGGTGATAGTTTGTGCAGGATCTCTCAGAGACGTGGAACTGTCGTGGACTCTCTTAAACCACAACAGTTCCAGCTAACAATCTTTAGAGAATCGGAGTTGGCGGTTTGTGAAAATCCACCTTATTCCTGCTCATAGCAGGAATTATTTAGGCTTGAGAAGGTGCCATGCTCGTGGATGCAATGTTGGTCCTTGAAGCTTTTTCTCTTTGTTGGGGCTCTCTGCGTGGATGATGTTCTTCTGAGGGATGATTTTTGTACTGTGAGCAGGTTTCTCTTTTTGTTTAGTGTACCTGCCAGGCCGAGTGGGCTTCTCTTGACTACTCTGTTAACAGGTGGTCTTCCACGCCGTTTTCTCACAGGTGAGTTAGGAGCTTCACTAGGGCCCGTGACATCCCCTGAAGTGGGTAAGTGGTGGTTGATAGTTGGGTAGTAAGAAGTTGGTACTGGGAAGATAGCTCTGTCAGACTCGAGTGCTACTGTTGTAATTATGTCTGCTGCAGTATTCGCTATTAGGTTTCCGGTTTCATGTTCCAGTACTCTCTGTCACCATGCCTCACTTTCCACGGGGTCTCCACAGTTTATGTATTGAATCGTAACTTTTTGGAGTTCCTCCATGACCTCGTCTGTAGATGGAAGTCGATGGGGTACAGTTTGAGGGCTGAGGGCCTCTTCTACTACGGTAGGTGGTGTGCCTGGAAGGTTCGAGGCTCTTGAGTTTACTTCAGTTGGTGATTTAGAGCTTTTGGTCTTTTCTCTCCACTGTAGGGTTGGTGAATGGTGGCTGGAGTCTTGGAGAAATCCAGTGTGCTCTCTTGCCGTAGAAGTGAACAGGGGCCTCTCTCTCTTACACATTGATATGACTGAGAGGGATTTTGGGATAGCCGGGTGAAGTTATCCCGAGGGTTAAGATGGTATCTATGTCCCTTGTTACGTGTAGATGACACTTCTTTTGACCTAGAAGATCTTGTTGATATTCTTTCATCATAAAGTTGACTATGTATATCCGTTCTTTGATGAAACTCAGGGGTATGTTGCTGTTCTTTGTGGAGATTACTTCCCGGTCAGGGGTGGGTCTTGGGTCCTCTCTTGGCGGTGATTTGATGACTTCTCTATGTGGTAGAAGACAGGAGCTTCTTTCATGTGTTAACCTGAGACAGATGGAGCAGTGCTTTTCGAATTTCTCGTACTCAAAGGTGATTAGCGTCTCTTCTCTGTTTGCAAACTCAAAGATAGTTTCCTTGATGAGTGGTTTGAGCCCGTTTATGCTGACTCTTATTCTTGTTGTAGTGTCGGTGAGCTCATGGTCTTCTCAAATCTCGAGTTCATCAGCGATTTTGCAGATAAGTTCTTGTTTCTAGTAGTGAAGAGAGATTCCTCTCAGGTGAATCCAGAAGGGAATTTGTGATGGGAAGGAAGGGGAGATCACCGGCTCCCACTTCTGGAGGATAATCATCCATCTGCCGAAGTGGTATGGCCTATTGTCGAGAACCCTTTGCAGATCTGCAGGGTATTCAAAGCGGAACTGGAAACAGCCATTTCCCAGATCCGAACCAGTCGCTCGTCCTTGAAGGCTCCACCATTTTGAGAGAAACGGTATGAGGGACCAGACGCGTTGTTCTTTTTCATTTGTAACTCTGCCGATGAGGGTTAGGTTGTTTGCTTTTACCAGATCTAATGTATCAAAGTCTGGTGCTCGTATGCGAAGGCGTGTGGGTACTTCCATTGGTGAAGCTAGTCCTTTCCCTTTCTCTGCGTAGGAAAGTCGTCGAGCCATTGTTTGGCTTGGTTTTCGCGCGGGAAGAACCTCTAAAAGGTGGTTTAAAATCCGGTGTGGAGAGGAGAAGAGTCTTTTTGGGATGAAGCAAACACCAGTTTTTGGGGAATGTTTGTGGATTGTGTTCGAGAGTTTCACGTACGTTGTAGAGATAGTGGTGTGAAAGATGCTTCTCCGATTGTATTGAGCGATGTGTTAAGAGGTTTCTTTACGGACTGGATCTTCCAAAGGAGCAGGATACTTACCGGTGGAGAAAAACGGGCACTCCGACATCAGCCCCGTCTCTAAGGCATGGCGGAGGGGCAATGGCCATGGATCCAAAAATTTAAGGGCCCAATTTTTTATTTTTTTATATCAAAAACTTTGTTATAATGTGTTCTTAACACATTAAAAAAAAATAGAACTAATTTATAGTACATAATAAGGCCCATGATCCATTTAATAAAAAAGAGGATTATGATCTAAAAGAAATTATACCTAAAATTTAAGGGCCCAATTTTTTTATATTATAAAATTTGTTAAAAATATATTCTTGAAGACAGTTATGAATATATAATTAATTTTTAGTACACAAAAAGGCTCATGATTTATTCGATTATTAATAAAACGTCATAACCTACTTATACAAAAATGATTATACCTTAACTGTTTCCTTTGTTAACAAGACAACAACCATCTCAATTATTTAAAATTTAAAGATCAGATGGTCTTATACTTTTTTTGCATTGAAAAGGAAGTTTTAAAAACTATAAATTTTGAAACAATTATCAATAATTTTGCATCAATAAAGTTAGGAAAAAAAGATATATATGATTTTTTATTTTTCTAAAATAAATTATTATTCTTTTATCAACTTACTAAATCGAGTAGTCCTAGACTTCGAGGAAGCTTTTTGATCAACTTACTAAATCGAGTAAAGGAAAATAGGGTAGCTTGGAGGACAAGGGAGCGCCCAGAACAGAAGTATGAAAGTTTTGGGACTTGTGCATGGGAGCGTTTTTTAGCATATTTGAAAATTATTTCTATTGCTATAAATCTATAATACTAAATTGTATCACCTGTTAGTCACAAACTGTTTTAATTTGTAAAAAGGTTCTCATTCTTGTCTATCTAAGGGCATTTTGAATTATCCACATCCATTATCAATGTGGTCTATTTTTATTTTATAGATATGATCATTCATTCTTTGAACAATCGACCGACTTCCTCTACTTATGAGTGGTGATGTCTCATTTATATGCTTTGGTTCAATTTTTTAGTGGCTCTACATGTCCTACCCCTAGAGAATTGTTTACCTTCTCCTGCATCGAATTTCTGCAATGGTTTAGAATGTCAGCTGTATCACACATGTCACCTATCAAGCCAGGTTTGCTGTATAAATGCTAACTTATTTCAAAGTATGTAATCATAAACTCAAATTTGTTTTAAACAAATTCACATATTTTCTCAAAATTAAAATTAGAATATCTATTTATACTATCAATTACAAAAGTTGTCCCCCATATGAATCATTTTAGCTTTCTCTTTATTTTCTACTTTGTCTTCATATATTTCTGACTGCAACTGCGCACAGACATCCAGATTTCCAAAATCGCCTTTTACTCTTCCTCTTCCGAGTAATCACTTCATGTATGCTCTTAAAAACATTCTCTTTGTTTGTTAGAAAATAAAATTCCTAGAATGAAATCTCTATCTTAGATTCTCATAACGATGAGAAGCAAAGCTTTTTCTTTATCTTGGTCTTACTCATACTGCATACATTATCCTCCTCTATTATCCGTATGGTCTATTTTTCTATCCATTATTATTTATCTCTTAGAACAATCGACCGACTTTTTCCACTTACGAGTAGTGAGATTTCATTTATATGATTTGGTTCAATTTTATATTAACTTTACATGTCCTACTAGTAGGCCTTTCCTTTAGCGAGTTGTTTACTTACTCCTGTGTCGACGTGCGATGGCTTAGAATATCGCTATGTCCCGCATGTCACCTATTAAGGCAGATTTGGTAAGGTTTTTGTTGAATATGTTTTTACAGACTCAGTGATTGAAACATCAAAAAAAAAAAATTATAAAAAAAGAAAAAAAATTGATAATTAAAATGAAAATATAAAAACAAAATATTTACAAACTATAACAAAACTCGTGTGTATAAGCACAAATTCTCTCCTAATTTTTGATCATTCACAAATAAATCATCTAACAATTCGTTAAAACTTAAATGATTGAAAATAAGAAAAATTGACTTGGGATCTCGGAGCATTCAAATGGGCTCAAATGTAAAAAAAGGCCCAATGTGAAGCATATGATCTGTAGGCCCGATAGGGTTTGGTATTGACACGACAATTGGTTTTCTAACCTTTTTTGTGTTAGTCATTTCAGACTACGGCTGGATCTATCAAACACAAACAAACTCTCTGCACAGTAACGGAATTTAAATTTAAAAATTATAATTATGGATATGTTATTTAGAATCAGAAACATTAAAATATTCTTGTGTTTAAATTATACAAAATAATTTGAAATATTTTCTAATTTGAATTATAAACATTGAAATATTTTCAGCTACCGTATTCGTAACTGCAAAGTGCGAAATATTTTCTGACTTGGCTTTCAATGTTCAAACTTCAAAAAAATAAACCAAAAATAGTTAAAGAAAGAGAACAACATTTCTAGGTTTCAAAAGAAAGAGGCTTTTTGTTCCTCTTCAATCTTCTTCTCCAAATGGACTCAACATCCACTGATGAAAATCTTGTTGAAGAGAGAGAAGAGCTGATGGTGTTTCCCAGTGAGAGTAACAATCGACTTATCATAAAAAAGACCCCTCTTTTAAAACCCCATGTCACCACCATTGATGGGTCTGAAGCTGTGATGCTTCGTCCAGCTCCTTCTCCCAACTTAAAGGCGTCGTCTTTGTGTGTTTCCTTTTCTGGGTGGAGGTTACCGAACAAAAAATTCAAGTCTTGGGCTCGAAAAATGGCTGCTTTGCACAAACCCACTTGGGTAAAATCTGGTATTTTCGAAGCGATCGAATCATCGACTTACAAAATCCTTAAAAATCCGTCCTTGATCCTCACTCTCGCTCAAAAATGGAGCCCCGAAGCTAAATCCTTCGTCTTCCCTTGGGGCGAAGCAACGATAACCCTCGAGGATGTAGCTGTGCTTCTGGGTTTTTCCGTTCTAGGTTCGTCTGTATCTGCTCCTCTCGACATCTCAGGAATCGAAGAAGCCGTTGAGAAACTGGAGAAACGAAGACAGGAGAGCAAGAAGCAGGTTTCATGGATCTCAAGCTTTGTAGATGATCAAATGGAGCATGAAGCTTTCCTTGTGTTATGGCTTTCGAATTTCGTGTTTCCTGATAAATCTGGCCGTTCGATTTCGAAAGACGTTTTCCCCATTGCCGTTCGTCTAGCCAGAGGTGAAAGGATTGCTCTTGCGCCTGCGGTTCTCGCAAGCCTCTACAGAGATTTGGGTAAATTCAAAGCTTTAGCCTCTAAACGAAAGGTTAAGCTCGACTCGCTGTTTAAGTTGGTCCAAGTGTGGATATGGGAGAGATTCAAGAGCATGAGACCAGAAGCTAAAGTGATACCAAGGGGTAAGCCTAGAATTGCTCGATGGAATGGTCTGAAACAGAGATCTAAGAACGTGGGACTGTTTCTTCTTGATGATTTTGATTGGCGTCCGTATACTAAACCTTTAATGAACTGGAACCCACCTCGGTGTTACAGTGAAGAAGCTAAGAAAGTGAGCGTTGATGATGATGATGAGTTGGTTTCGTTTGCTCGATGTGAGAGTTTCCAAGCTTGTTGGGATTGGTTTTACAGAGGAGTATTATCCAAATCGAGTGGCGATGCAATTCGGATTGCCTCAAGAAAATCTTCCTGGTTCAGTTACTAATCATAGCAGCAACGAAGCATGTGAGGATTACAATAGGCCTCGTGATGGTTCAAAGCAATGCATTCCTTCTCGTCTTACCAAAGCTTCAGTTACTGCTGCCAGATACCGAGACTGGTGGATGAAATCAGTTTCCGAAATGCAGACCAAAACTTTCAATGCAAGCAATACAGGTGATGATGATGATGTACCTCTTAAGGTACTGCCATTGAGCCAGGTCTTTCAGAAGTTGGGAGATGGAAAGAAGAAAGATGAGCATTTGACTAACAAGCGACGCAAGCGAGCTCGTGAGGATGACAACGAGAGTGCAGTGGATTGTTGTGAGACACAAGATGAAGAAGAAGGCGATGATAGCATTGCCATTGCTCAGAAAATCAAATCTAGAAAGAAGTGTGGTGATGCAAAGGATACTGGAGGAGAAAGAAGTAGACTTGAAGTTGATTGCAATGTTTCAGGCCTTCCTCAAAAGCTTTCTCCTAGAGATGAACACAGCCCTTCAGATCCTAATGTTGCTTCTGTTGGAGTAGCTGAGAAGGAAGAAGACGATAACATGACCATTGCTCAGATTGTCAAATCTAGTAAGTAATATAGTGATGCTGTAGAGAATACTGAAGGAGGAGGAGATGCTTATGGTGGACTTGAGGTGAGTTACAATGTTTCAGGCCTTGCTCAAAAGCTTGCTTCTGGAGATGAATCTGTAGCAACCCCAGAAACAGAGCAGATTAGTGAAGGGAATCCTTCTAATGGAGCAGCTGAGAAGGAAGAGGAAGATGATGTTAGTGATGATGAGAGATTGAAGCAGAGAAAAATTGCAGCAATATGGGAGCTAGCATTGACGCTTGAAGCACGTATGTTGAAGGTGGAGAAGAATTTGGCAGAGATTAAACAAAGGAAGATGAGAAAAATCCTCACCAAAACTCCAGTTTCTGCTTAGGCTATATCGTCGCTTTTGCAGCTTCTCTTACTAAAGACGAAGAAGCTATGTACATTCCTCTCTGCTAAATGATAATTTTGTATTTAGAAACTTAAATATCATCTAATCATAGATTAATGGACTTAAAGTATTCTTATATATGTTTTACTTATCCACTTTCACATTTCTACTTCTTCTTCTCCAATGATTGCTCTCTCACTCACACTCACATCATTACCTTTCTTCTACGCGCTTCCCTCGACTACGTTCAAGTCACGCGCCTCTCCTCCACGTATCGCCGCCTCTTTGTCTCTTTCCAGAAGACCGGACCTTCGTCGACTATATCGCCGACAATCAATTGAGGCCATGTCCCGTGACGTCCGCATTTCCGATTCACCGCAGGTGATGGAATTGGTAGATGAATCTGATTTCCAGAAGCTTCTCTCTTCCGAAAACCGGATCTCCATCACCGGATTCGGTTCTCTTCTCTCCGGTGCGTACACTTGAGCTTCTTTTTCCCTTCGTTCCATATGATCGATCATCTGGAAATTTGATTAATTATTTCTGTTCTCGTTTTTTGATTGTTAGAGAGAAGCGCGAGGAGCACTTTCCCAGATTTGGAGAATTTCAGAGTCGCGAAACTGGAAGGATTCCGGCGAGTCTTCGCCCACGCCGCCCCGATCTTCTTCGAACGCGGGATCGCTAATCCAGAAACTAAGGTCTCTCTTCAGACTTTTTCTCCTTCTGAAATTGGTTTCTGCATCTATCGTTACGTATTGGCAGATGGACTTCCTAGATGATGAGCATGGAAACTTGATTTTGAAACTCTGTGAATGAACAATGCCATTGATTTTGAACTCTGTGAGTGAATAGTGCCAATGGCTTCACAGATTATAGCAGACATTGGTTTGCAAAAATAGACATGTACAAAGATTCTTCATAGGCGTAGGAGAAAACGATTCTGAGTTTGTAACTGTGATGAAAACAGGAGATCTCAAGCTTGAGTGTAGAGCCATGTGAAGGAGAGAGCCTTATAGTGAGTGTCTTTGAGATAAAACCAACAGAGGTACACATAGATAACTTGAAAACTTCAATCCTGTGGACACAAGTATATATATACTCTTGACGATTTTCGATACACAGATTCCGGCTTTTATACAAAGGGAGCTTGAGTTCCGGTTTCTTGCTGTGAGTCACTAAGTTCCTCTTCTTCAAGATAGTCAATGAAAAAGTTATGCATTGTTGCTTATTATTTGCTCACACATAGGTTGTTCCTGAAACAATGGAAGGCAAACCTTTCACCAATTCTGCGGTTCGTCTTGTTCTCAGCGACGTTTTGCTTTTTTTCTGTTTGCTGCTCTTTGTGAAGTCCTGAGTTTTTTTTGTGGCATGATTGCATGAACAGGTACTTTGTGCTCGATACAGTGATGAGGAGTTTTTCCAGATTCGATGTAAAGGTTAGACCTTTTTCAGTCTCAAAAGTTGAAGCGAATATAGGATTCATCCTTTTTCTGTTATCTGCAGGAAACAAAGAGATTTACTTTCAGCATTACGGAAGATTCAACATCGACAAGATATGGCGGGACGACATCTTACCTTGTCGTGTCTATCTAAGGCACTGGTATGTACAGTCTCCTTTCTCATATCCTCACTCCAAAATTTTCAGACTTGAATTAGCTTCGAATGAATATATCTTGTAAAGATTTCATATTTTTGGTGCTGAAACCAAACTTTGGTTTTTTTTTTTTGTTGCAGTGTATTGGCAGCAAAGAATCTGGGAGATGAAGCTTACAATAACTTTCTGGATCATACATACTTGGGAGATCGAAGAACAACCATCAGAGAGTATTTAAGTAGCACAGGTTCTGGAATCATTGAAGAAGAACCACCTGAGGCTCTCAAGTCCAGATATGGCGGTTGATCAAATAACCATGAAAGAAAAAGAAGATAAACTTCTACAAAACTTTAAACGTTATAAAAATAATCATTTAAAAAGAATACCTTAAATTTTAATTTTAGCGAAATTTGAGTTTTGGCTCAGCTTATAATATCCCACATCGGTAGTTTTGGGAAAGGGTTGTTTACTCTATAGGCTATAAAAGGGGAACGAGTTTGCCGTTACTTGAGTAACCCGTTTCTGTCAGAGGTGAAGGATGATTCGTCAATGATCGTTTAGAGACGGCGGATCGTGCCTCCAAATTTGGCGGACATAAAACTAAAAGGCGAGTGGGCCTGACCTTACTTTGGTTGGGCCTGCCCGTCAATTTTTGGAAGCCTCGATATACATTGAGGTTCTACCCACAAACCCAAAGAAAATTATAGTTAACAAGGTCAACAATTGAAAACAGACATTGCAAAATTGATTATTCTTTAACAAACCATAACCAATTCTAACTAATAGTCCGACTTAAAAAATTGTACGTGCCCTTTTCATAAGATCTTCTTGATAATCTTGAAGCCACAACAAATTCGTGGACTGGATTTTATGATACAATTCTTCATTTCTTTTTTTCCTCTAAAATAAAAAGTCATTTTTATGAATTAAACTTAAAAAAGTAATTGCTCCCAACAATACTGTTCACTCCACACTATGTTTTTTAATAAGATATGAAGTGATCTATACATGAAAAGTTATATCTCATCAGTTAGAACTCTTAGGTAACAAATGAGAATGCAAATGCTATATGCAAATTAATATCAATGACAAGTGTGACATTATTTGCCAGTAGATTTGTTTTTAAACTTCTTACGTAACTCATTTTGGCTTCTTTGTAAAATGTTTTTCTTTGGCTTTCTTGTTGATCAAATATATTGGTCAAAAAATTTCTACAAAAAATATTTATCCAAAGTTTTATATTATGTTCTCTTTTTATCTTGAATGCATGCATGATTAAATACAATGTTATACGGATTAATAAGATCAAATAATAGTTTGAAGCAAATATTATCTCAGATATCCTATATTTTTAAAATCATACACATTCAATATACTTTATTGTTTTTTTTTTGTGAGATTTGGTCACAAACTTGTCTTCTTACTGTTCTCATTTCCGCAAAAAAACTGCTCACGTCTGCAATCGATGTGGAGTAGGGTTATCCTAAAATTCCCGATCCAAAGCTTAGGTATTGACATAGGCATTACCTTTTTCAGGCTGGCCTATTTAATAGGTCGTGATCCACAATGTTGAAGAGTCGGACTCCGATGTAGCTTAAGATCCTTCAAGACATGATGAACATAACAACAACTCATTTGATGAGAATGTGGCCGACACAGGACATGTTTTTCTTTTCTTCTAAGATTGTTTCATGGAACAAGACAATTAGTCGTGATCTCGTCTCTTAAGAAATATATTTGGCCTAACCTTGCTTTCTCTTTGTCAAGGAACATTCATTACACGAAGTCTGGAAAGAAACTGACTTGCAAGAACAAAGAAACCGGTACTCGATTCTCGATGACTACCTTAGCGCTCAACAAATGTGGCATGAAATGGTACACCAAAAAAAAAAGTCCTTTACAGCTACAGAGTAAAACAAGGTTCTGTTGATGTTTTGTGTTTGATGTGTTAACGAAATGAAAGAAAAACAGAGTATCGAATGTAATCGTAACTTGTATTGATATTTGACTATATTACACTTGTTTCTAGTGATGCAAATAACAAAGACTCGATCTACTATTTATACGAACGAAACAATATGTTTGTGTAATAAGAAAAAAACATGACTCTTAATCTAAAAGACACAACTCTAAACAGAATAACTTGTGTCTCTTGATCAAGTAACTAACTTATGTAAATGTGACCTTGGTTTAGAGAGATTTGATTATGGTTCAACACTCCCCCTTAATCATATCTCGGCTTCACTCCAAGCTTCTTCCTTAGATCTTCAAACCTTGAAACGCTTAAAGCTTTTGTAAGTATGTCCGCGAGTTGATCTTCTCCCTTGCAATACTCAAGTTGAATGAGTTCTTTGTGCTCGGCTTCTCTCACGAAATGATACTTGATCTCTATGTGCTTCGTCCTTCTATGTTGCACTAAATTCCTTCTAATTGCTATTGCCGACTTGTTGTCACATAGGATGGGAATGCCTTCTTCAAACTTTAAACCAAAATCCTCCAAGAGTCTTGTAACCAAATGGCTTGGTTTGTTGCTACACAAATAGCTATATACTCTGCTTCCACCGTTGATTGAGCCACCGTTTGCTGCTTACATGATTGCCAACAAAACATAGCCGATCCAAAACTGAAAACATAACCTGTGGTGCTTTTCTTGTCTTCGATAGACCCTCCCAATCGCTGTCCGAGTAGCCTATCAATCTTGGTACCTTTGCACTTGTGAAGAAACACTCCAAAGCTTTACGTTCCCTTAACGTATCTTAACACCCTCTTAGCTTTTTGGTAGTACTTCATGTGCGGTGATAACATGTATTTTGACAGATAAGAGCTTGAGTACATCACATCAGGTCTTGATGCACACAAGTACAAAAGCCCTCCTACGATGCTTCTATACTTCGTTGGATCTCAATACTCTTTGCCATCTTCTTCTCTTTTTTCCTTGTGGTGTAAGTGGAGTACTTACACTCTTGCTTCCTTTCATCCCAAACTTGTCAATAAGTTTGTTTGCAAATTTCTCTTGTGAGAGAAAAGATGCCACGATCATCTTGGTTTACTTCCATTCCAAGAAAGTAATTGAGTAACCCAAGATCTGTCATCTCGAACTCGTTCTTCATGTTCTCCTTGAATGTGTTGATGAGATGATTGTTGTTTCCGGTGATGATGATATCATCGACGTATAAACTAACGATCAAACACATTTCCTCCTTGCTTCGTGATGTATAAATCTGCATCATTCATACTTCTTTTAAAACCATTTTGAATGAAATAAGAATATATTCTTCCATATCATGCTCATGGGGCTTGTTTAAGGCCATATAAGGCTTTGTATAGCCTTAACACCTTCTCTTCTTGTCCTTCGACCACAAACCCAGGCGGTTGTGTGATATATACTTCTTCTTCGAGTTCTCCATTTAGAAATACCGACTTTACATCCATTTGATACAATCTCCACTCCATTTGAGCTGCATATGCAAGTAATGCTTGTATTGTATCATGCCTTGAGACAGGGGCGAATGTCTCAAGATAATCGACTCTATATGCTTGAGAAAAACCTCTCGCTACTAGCCTCGCCTTGTGTTTGATGTGATGTCCGCTTGCATCCGTTTTGATCTTGTAGATCCATTTCACACTTATAACATTCTTCTTCTCCGGCTTGTCTACTAGTTTCCACGTCTTGTTCTTCTCAATCATTTCTATTTCTTCACTCATGGCCTTTCTCCATTCATCACTACCACAAGCTTCATCGTAAGTTTGTGGTTCTTCATGCGCAAGAAGGCAAGCTTCTATTATTTGAGCTGCTTCTTTAACCTCCACTCTGGGTGCTATTTGCATGATTTCACTTATAGCCTTGTATTTCTTTGGTGACTCAGAAGTTTCTCCTTCTTCATTGTTATTATGGTCACCATCTTGAGGGAAAACAGGGCTGGAGATCCTTTCGATCTGATCTCTTGGTGTTTGTTCGTCATTGATGGACAAAAAAATGTCTTCTTCACTTCTTTTTGCCTATCCTAATTCCACTTCTTATTTTCTTCGAACTCCACATCTCTTGAGACTTCAATCTTCTCATCCTCCAAGATGAATATTCTATAGCCTTTTGACTTGTTACTATAGCCAACGAAGACTCCACACTTAGCCTTAGCATCTAACTTTCTTCTTCTTTAATTTGGAATATGCACATAGCATATGCTCCCAAATATCCTCAAATGTGACACGTTTGGCTTGTGTCCACACCACTTCTCTATATGCGTCACACCATCTTTGATTGCCTTTGATGGTAGACGATTTTGCAAGTATGATGAAGTATATACCGTTTCTGTCCATAACTTGAGCGGTAAGTCTTTCTCAACAAGCATTGATCTCGCCATTTCCACCAATGATCTATTCTTGCGTTCCGCTGTACCATTTTTCTGTGGAGAGTAAGGCAATGTAACTTGCCTATTGATTCCTTCTTCTTTGCAGAATAGGTTGAACTCGTGAGATGTGAATTCACCACCACCATCGGATCTTAGTGTTTTGATCGTGCATCCCGATTGCTTCTCGATCATCGCTTTGAACTTCTTAAATGTTAAAAAGGTCTCGGATTTTTGCTTTAGGAAGTATACCCAATACATGTGAGTGTAGTCATCCAAAAACAAAACATAGAGCGGCTTCCATCGATCGATTGATTTTGCATCGGTCCACATAGATCCATGTGCACAATCTCAAGCTTTTCTCTTGTCTGATTTTGAGATTCTTTTGGGAAGCTCTTGCGTGATTGCTTCCCAAGATTACACGCCTTACACACTTCTTTGTTGACTTTAAAACTTGGTGACCCCTTTACCAAGTCTTTGTCTTGCATTTGTTGTAAGCGTCGCTTGCCTACATGGCCAAGTCTTTTGTGCCATGTTTCTTTTATTTGAGCATTTGCTGTCATGGCTTCTTCCTCGACTGAACTTAACTTGATCTTGATGCTTTTGTTCGTCATTTCAATGTCCATGATCTCTTTGCCCTTTGCATCTTGGATGATTCATCTTGGATGATGCATCTCTTTTCTTTAAAACGTACTCGATAGCCGCTTGAGATTATTTGAGGAACACTCAATAGGTTCTTCTCCAAGCCAGGCACTAAGAATACGTTCTTGATGATTCTCTTGCCATGGCTCGTCATGACGGTAATATCTCCTTTTCCGGCTGTCATGACTATATTACCATTTCCGATTCTAATCGGCACTTTGATACTTCTATCGATATTTGAGAAGTATCTCTCCTCTTTCGTAATATGGTTTGTGCAGCCACTGTCAACCAACCAAACGTCTTCTCTTAACGTTGTTGATTATTCCTCACTTGCACTAAACAACATATGATCATCTTCTAAGCCTTCTTCTTCGAGACTTACATGTGCTCCCTCTATTTTCTTTGAGCGACACACATTTGAGTAGTGGCCAATCATACCACACTTGTAACACACCTTATTACTTCCTTGGCTGTTGCCTTAATCACTTTTCCTCGGTTTCTTCCAACACTTCTCTATGGTGTGATTGCTCTTCTTGCAAAATCCACACCATCGCTTGCCTTGATTGACATGGCTTTTGGTGTTGTCTGATTTGAAACTGGATTCTCTTCCTTTCGAGCGAACATAGAATGCTCTCTCACTTGTGCTTTTTTCTCTTGCAGCAACTCTCGCTTCTTGTGCCTTCAAGATGCCAATAAGTTCTGATAATTTTAGTGAATCCAAATTGCTATTTTGCTCTAGGACACTAACAATGCTATCAAACTTGGCTGGGAGAGAGATGAGTATTTTCTGTATGAGTTGAGAGTTTGTTTTCTTCTCTCCATGATAAGTTAATTGATTCTCCAAAACAGTTAACTTATCGGTGAATGTTTTGATGTCATCACCGTCATACATTTTTAGATTTTCGTACTCTCTACGCAATGATTGGAGTTTGACCAATCGAACTTTTGGAGAGCCTTCATACTCATCTTATAATGCATCCCACACCTCTTTTGATGTTGCTGCCGCTGCAATGCATGAGAATATTTGATCTGTTACGGCAGTTTGCATGATTTGCAGAGCGATTGTATCATTCGCCATCGCTTTCTCTCTAAGCGATCTTACTCTTGCTGTTTCAGGGGTTTCAACCGTTGGTAACGGTTCCACTGGCACGCCTTCTTAGACCATTGACCACAGTTTTCTGGTCCTGAAAATGGTTGCCATCTTGATGCTCCAGAAGTCATACTTCTCCTTGATGTGAGGAGCCTTGCATCGTCTAGGCTTGTTGGCTTTCGACGTATACGATCTTTTCTCGTTATCTCTCTCTGTCGTTAGTGTTTTCTCTCTCTTGTCCTCTCAATCGTAAAGCTCTGATACCATGTTGATGTTTTGTGTTTGATGTGTTTACAAAATGAAAGAAAAACAGAGTATCGAATGTAATCGTAACTTGTATTGATATTTGAATGTATTACACTCGTTTTTTGTGATGCAAATAACAAAGACTCGATCTACTACATATACAAACGAAACAATATGTTTGTGTAATAAGAAAAGACATGACTCTTAATCTAAAAGACACAACTCTAAACAGAATAACTTGTGTCTCTTGATCAAGTAACTAACTTATGTAAATGTGATTATGGTTTACAGAGATTTGATTATAGTTCAACAGGTTCAAACTTCAAACTGACATTGTTAGTTTCTCTATGTGATCGATGGGGACAAATTAACATAATGGCCTCAAATCGCAATGGATATAGTACTCCACATCATTACATACACTCGCTGGTATGTATGTAACTGGTTTTTTCTTTGGTGTTTGGAAAGTGAATCTCTGATATGCACTTCTTGATGATCCTTTATCATATCTCATTGCAGGGACAGTCCATAACTCAGCAAAGGTTTTATGGAACTTTCAGTTATTCTCCTGAATAAGTCTGCATTATCCACAAATGTTATCTCATTAATGTTAGAATGGAATTTTAGGGCAGGGACAGTTAAGTTTCAGACCAGGAGCTATGTATATGAAAGACTTATGGTAAGAGACTTGAACTAGACCTTTTGAAAGCTGTCTCAAATCTTCATGTGCTTCTCTTTTTTCACAAAGAAATTAAGGGAGTTTGTTTCTATTCATGAGTGTTAGGGACAGTCAAGTTTTAGACATCATCCTCAGCAACATTGCGATTCTCCAAAACTTCAACAATTCAACAAGAACTACTCTCACTGAGCCACTCTTCCTTTTAAGCAGCAGAATTGTGATATTTTTATGTATATATATTTTGGTTTCTTGTAGAAACAAAATCGCTCCTCTCTCTCGCAAAGAGGCAAAATCGGTCCGTCTCTCGAAAAAAACCAGTAGGGAAGATATTGATCAATCCTAATTGCACCTTTTTGTGTAAAGATGGAGGATAAGTTACTAAGGATGTTTAAGTCGTGTAACCTTAATTGTGGAAAAACCCATCCGGTAGAAACCCTAATTCATGCCAACAAATCTCTTTTTCCTAGCTTGAGGAACACTCCGCTTATTATGACGGGACAAGCTTCTCTTTTAAAGGCTATGCACGATGTCGGGAACAAGAGCGAGCTTCTTTCGTTGGTGAACAAACACCCTCATGGGATTGATGTGTCTGATCTCAAAGACGCTTACTCTAATGTCATGGAGGATTTGCAGACTCTCAAAGATTCAAGAGCCATCTTCTGGTCGAGATCAAACACTGGTTTAGAAGAGGGCATTGCGTACCCGGATGGTTTCAAGTGGGTTAATGACTATAGAATCTAAGATTGATATATAAAGAATAACTCTCTTTATTGCTTAAGAAAATAACTCAAAACTTAAGCTCTCTCTCAATCTCAAACTCCTAAGTTATGCCACACATTGGTATCTCCTTAAATAGAGAGATCAAGACCAAAACCAAACTCTATTAGGAATCCAATTTATATTTAGATAACTCCTAAACATATATTCCTGATCTATAATGACTTATGTCTTAAGCTTTTTTCAAGCTTAATCCAACATTTTTCCTCCTAAGCTTGAAGTCAATGTCTTTGAAATCTTGAACACCAATGAGATCTCTCATCTCTTTAAACTTGATCCTTCTGAGTGCTTTTGTCAAGATGTCAGCCCTTTGCTCATTTCCAGGAACATGTTCGACATCTATTAAACCATCTTCGACACACTCACGAATGAAATGAAACCTTGTGCGTATGTGCTTACTTCTGCCGTGGAAGACCGGATTTTTAGTAAGAGCAATAGCAGACTTATTGTCAATTCGTATGATAACTTTCTCGCATGGTAAACCAGTAACCTCACTGAGCAGATCTTGGAGCCATATCGCCTGTCTTGCTGCCTCCGTACCTGCCATGAACTCAGCCTCACATGAAGATAACGCCACTGTCTCTTGCTTCTGTGAGCACCAAGTAATTGGACTTCCTCCCAGATAGAAAATATGACCAGTTGTACTCTTTTCATCATCCGGATCAACATTATGGCTACAATCGCTATAACCTATTAGCTTTGGTATCTTCGAGTTTGATCGATCAAACTTTAATCCAAGCGTGATTGTACCTCGTAAGTATCTTAAGCATTGCTTCATTGCAACTCCATGAGATTCTTTCGGATTCTGCATATATCGGCTGAGAACTCCCACACAGAAATTCAAGTCTGGTCTTGTGTGAAGTAAGTATCTCATACAGCCCACATTCTTTCAGTACATTGTAACATCAATATCCTTTTCTTCTGCAGACTTTGACAGCTTTAAACCAGCTTCGATAGGAGTGTGAACTGCATTACATTCTGCCATCCCTGTTTCTTCTAGGATCTTTAAGGCATAGCGCTCTTGTTTCAGCATTATCCCTTCAGCGTATTGGCATACCTCAATTCCAAGATAATATGTTAACAAGCCGAGATTACTCATCTCGAACTTTGATAACATCTTGTTTTTGAACTCGTGGATGACTTCTTTGTCTGAACCTGTTACAAACAGGTCATCAACATATACCGTTATGACAAGAAGACTTCCACCTATTGTCTTTCGATAAACGGACGGTTTTTTGAGGATTTGATTTAGTTTGTTGTTCCACGCCCGAGGTGCCTGTCGCAGACCGCATAAAGATTTATTTAACTTGTACACTTTGTGCTTGCTCCCCTTTTCTTCGAATCCTTATGGTTGTGTTACATACACAGTTTCTTTTAACTATCCATGGAGGAAGGCCGTTTTAACATCTAGATGATGTAACTCCCATCCACTTGTTGCTGCAAGGTTGATAAGTAGCCGTATTATTTCAATTCGGGCTACTGGTGCGAACACCTCATTGAAATCAACACCGTAGCACTGAACATACCCCTTCGCTACAAGTCGGGTTTTATGCTTGTTAACACTTCCATCCAAGTTTCTTTTGAGCTTAAAAACCCACTTTAACCCAATCGATTTTGCTCCTTGTGGTAGATCCACGAGATTTCATGTCTTGTTTTTCTTTATAGATGTTATTTTGTCCTCACAAGCATGCATCCATTCCTTCGACTCCATGGCTTCATAGAAATCATAAGGTTCGTTGTTCATACACAGCAGTAATCTTTCTCCTTCTTCTTCTGCGATTCCTTCCGCGAGCATCACATAGTCTTTATGCCAAGCTGGTTTCTCTCTCTCTCTTTGTGTTCTTCTCGGTTCTGGATGAGGTGACTCGTTAGCCATAAATTGCTCTGTTTCAGCTTCCTCTGTTTTGATATCACGTAAACAGAGTGGTGAGACCTCTGTTTCGCGCCTCATTTTGCTATCTCCTTCCTCGTCAGTTTCTTGGTGATGACCGTCATTGTTTACTTCTTCTGCAAGCTCACGATTCTCTCTTGTCTCATGTATCCCACGATTACCAAACTCTCCAAGCTTCACGGTAAAACTTCCATCACGATCTTGATTTGTGTTATTGTGATTCCAATTCCAGCCCTTTGTTTCGTCAAAAACAACGTCTCGGCTCACGATTATTTTCTTCCTTTGTGGATCAAGTAGACGATACGCTTTCGATCCCGGTTCTATCCCTAGATGGACGAGCATTCGTTATCTGTCATCAAGCTTCTTAAACATTGGTTTTTCAATCTTTGCATAGCCAATGTTGTAGCACCCGTTCCCATCACTTTTGTGTCCTAGGTCTCGCGCCCTAACTTTCACCACAAGAAACACACTTGCACACGCTAAGAGGGGAAAAGGAGGGGGTGAGTAACGAATTACTCAGTGAAGAAAGTCATTTCCGCCCACATGCTTCTCAACACCACTATTTAATAGCACACGCAAATATTAAATCTAGAGCAAACAACCATCAAAAAGTATTTCTAATCACATTATAACTTAACACAAATCACATGACATCCCGGCTGTCAGACACCTCGAAAAGTCTTCCGCCACCATTAACTCAATATAAAATTATCATGACACTGGGCTGGTCAGGCACCTAGAAAGGTTTTCCACCACCCTTTGGCTCGTCAGCCGGTTAACGGGCTTTAATGGGATCGCCATGTCCTCATTCTCAGTCTGATTGCACTGAAGTACAGACTTAAACGGAATCGCCATGTCCTCGCTCTCAGTCCGACTTCGCCAAAATATAACATATACTTTCTACCAACACATCATATCAACTTAATATTTCACCATCTAAACTTATAACAAGCACTTAACATCATTTTCTCAATCACCACAATCAACAAACAATTTTCTAAACCTAGTATTTACGAATACTAATTAACTAGAAGTTTTGAGAATCCACGGATCTCACCCTCACATTTGATTTCGGATGAACGGAAGAGAAACGGCGCACAACGGCAACAAGGAGATCTCACAGGAAGAGAGGAAACAACTCAAACGGAGCTTACTTGAGGCTGAAGCAACGAAGTGGTAACAATGCACATGGTACATTTCATGCACAAATGGTAAAGGCTAATGCAAGTATCAACGGAGGAGATCTTGCTTACCCACTGAATTTACCCACTGAATGATAACGCCCGGGCTAACGTGACAACACCCAACGGAGAAGACGAAACTTGCGGCTGAAGCAACCAAGAAACAACCTCATGCATGTTACGTTAAATCTCGGATTAAAACAACTGACTCACGATTGAAGAACGAACTTGGATCTCTTACCACAACAATGAAGCAATGATGATACAGCAACACCGGAAGCGGACGGAGGAGAAGAAGCTTGAAGATTAAGCAACTACAACAATGGTGGATCAACATTATGGTTACTCTCGGTAGATACCAAACGAAGATGATGGTGATGGAAACATGAATCGCTTACCCATGCAGTGACTCAGGAACGACGGTGATGACTCGGAGCAGCAGATCGCCGGCGTTGGTGATCAGCGGTGGTGTGATCGAGAAGACGGTGGCTCGGCGTCGATTCACGGTGGCTTCGTCTCATATCAACGGAATCACGGACGGCGGTTCTGGCTTGGTCAGAAACAGTGACGGCGGCTCTGGCGTGATCTGGGTAGAGGTTCGGCGTCGATGTTGGGGGTTGCGGCTCAAAGTTGTCTCGATGGAGCTTTGTTGAAGATAGAGGAAGAAGAAGGCAACGTGGGGTTTATTAGGTTTGGGCCATGTTGGGCTAGCAATTCTTGTTGGGATTTTCTCAATTTCGGTGAGCTTGGATCGTTACAAATGCACCCAAAAATCCAAAGATGTCCAATGTTCGGCTTCTTCTCGTGAAATCCTTCGTATGGAGTTGTATCTTTCAGTGCTCTTGTACTAAACGGTTCAAGAGGTAAGTCGAGTGTCTCATTGCTTCTCCCCAAAGATAGTTTGGGACGTGCATATGTTTCATAATGCTCCTTGTCATTTTCATTAGGGTTCTGTTCCGTCTCTCAACTACTCCGTTTTGTTGAAGGGTGTATGGAGCTGTCAAGTGTCGTTTTATACCATTATTGTCACAGAACGACTTAAATTCATCTGACAAGAATTCTCCACCTCTATCAGTTCGGAATGTTTTTATACTCTCGCATAAGTCTTGTTCTACTAGGCACTTGGATTTTTTGAACTTGATAAAAGCGTCGCCCTTCTCCTTTAACAGTATCATCCACATGTACCGCGAGTAGTCGTCTCTGAGGACGAATATGTATCTCATTCCAGCGTGAGCGCTTGGTGTTATTGGTCCACAAAGATCTCCATGAACGAGCTCGAGCTTTTTACTCGCACGGTAAGAAGTTGCTTGAGGGAATACTTGTCTGGTCTGTTTCCCGAGTAGACATGATCCGCACACCTTCTTCTCGATATTAATACTAGGAATTCCTTGCACAAGTTCCCTTTGTAACATTGATCTCATTGTCTCAAAATTTATATGGCATAACCTCGCGTGCCACCTATTAGATTCACTTGTCGTTGCTAAATGTAGAATTGCGGTGTCTCTAATTCCCATGCGCACCTTATATAGCCGATTTTTAGCCCGTTTTGAGACAACCAGTAGCTTTCCGTTGTGATCATACATTATTAGACGTTCTCCCTTCATTCGAACATCGCATCGTGATTCTGTTGCTTATCCAAGACTGATAATATTACTCTTCAAATCTGGTATAAAACAAACATCAAACATCACTCTCAGCTCTCCTTTCATATCAATGAATGATATCGAGTCCTTTCCTTTGATGTCAATACGTGAATCATCGCCAAACCTCACTTTCCTGGTTACAGAATGATCGATTTTGGAAAAGTATCTTATGTCCCCAATCATGTGATTGCTGGCTCCATTGTCCTCCTCGTCCTCTGCCCCTTTGGTCTCCACTACCATCGCGGCTACCATCACGACTTGATTGGGTCGATTGTGTTTCAGAGTTGGCGTACATGAGCTTGCTCTGTTCTTCTTGACTATCTTCCTCTTCTGATATCCGCTCTTCATACACTTTCATTCACCCAACTATGTCTTCAAATCTTGTGGTGTTTAGGTCTAACACCTGTTCTAGAGATGCCACAATGTGTATGTATTTTCCTCGAGGGAGACTTGTAAGAAACTTCTTCACAAGTTTCGATTCTTCAATTGTGGAACCTAGGGCGGCTGATTTGGACGATATCTCAGATAACTTCCCGGAGAAGTCATCGATCTTCTCGTGTGTCTTTCATCTTAAGCCGATCAAATTCGGCTAATAGAGTTTGTAATCTCGCTTCTTTTACTCTCTCAGCTCCCCCATGTCTTGTTTTAATTGCTTCCCAAACCTTTTGGGCTGTGTCGAGTTCTCCAGCTTGGAGTACAAGTGCTTCTGTTATCGATTGGAATAACAGTGCTATTGCCATGTTATTCTTCTCGTTATCAAGAGGTTGTGTTCCAGGTTCGATTACCTCCCACACCTTGTGAACCTTGAGTGTGATCTTCATTCTCATGGCCCATACGGCGTAGTTAGTTGTGTTAAGCATAGGACATGTGATGGAGGAGGATCCTCCTCCTTCCTTTGGCCTTGCCGTTGCTGCGATAATATCTCCCATAGTGTCACGATCTTAATAAACTCTACAGCTCTGATACTAATTATAGAATCTAAGATTGATATATAAAGAATAACTCTCTTTATTGCTTAAAATAATAATTCATAAGCTCTCTCTCAATCTCAAACTTCTAAGTTATGTCACACATTGACATCTCCTTATATAGAGAGATCAATACCAAAACCAAACTCTATTAGGAATCCAACTTATATTTAGATAACTCCTAAACATATAATCCTAATCTATAATGACTTATGTCTTAAGCTTTCTTCAAGCTTAATCCAACAATGACGACTTTAAAGCTCTGCGCCGCAACGTATGGAGAGAGCTGGAGGTGGAGATGGAGTTGCATAGGAAGCCTGCGAGAGACGTTGCACAGATGCAGCGCATACCAATCAATAAACACAGTAAGCATAAGAAGAAGGCGAAAAAGATGAGCATGAGAACAAAGCTCACCAATGTGCATTTGCCCGAGCTCTTCCATAGCCTTAACCTCATAAACTGAGCCCAGAGTTGTATTTATTATCAAACGATGATCTTGTCTTGAGTTTACAATGGTTTTCTCTCACCTCCGTATAATTAAGCAGTCATACATTTTTCAGATAATAAGCAACACTTGTTGCTTTCAAATTTATGTGAGTTGGTGATCATTAGATAGATGGATGGAAAAACAAAACACATGCAATCATAAATGGTTTCGACCGTTTATCATTTTTTCTTACTTATATAATGCCTTATGTTGAAGAAATACTTTGGAATGGCAAAAGGAATCTGCATCCATCTCATAGTTGCTTGAGAAAGTAGATTCCTGCAACGCTTAGTAATCTCAGACATAACGTCCTCTTCGTGCATTGAACTTGACTGGATTCTGTAATCCATAAATGCATGCAAGAGCAGCATTTTCACCTTGCTACAGACTCTCAATACCTGAATCCTAGGTTCCACCAGGTGGAAACAGTTTTAGTGTTTCGTTTGCCTTCACGAGTATGTTGAAGCTGAATAGAGATACGAGGAAGCTGCTGCAGAGAATTGCAACCAGTGGAGATCTTTTCATTCACCTGCTTCTTGGTTAAGCAGCCCAAGGCATTCGACGAGATCAATCACACATTCCAGCACCCGAGTCTAGTCTTTCGTACCAAGAACCACGTTTAGAAACAGAACACTTCACTCGATGCTTCAACCAATTGACTAACTTGAAACTATCACATGGCATGAGCATCATAGAATATTCACAAAGGTAACAATTTAGTACGGAATTTTCATAGAATGTTCACATTAGTAACTATTTAGTATGGATTTTTCAAAAACAATTGGATTAAAATAGCATGTAAACTCTGTATATATAAATATGTATAAATGTATAATGTACATTTGATGATCAAGGTGAGAAGCTCATGAAGAGTGTGTGTCACACTCGAGCTCAGTGATCAATAGTTCCATCATCTTTTTATACATTGGCATATAATGATCGTTAATCATTCTTCTCGATAGCCTCATCTTTCTGTACAATTCTCTTGGCGTCTCATACAATCTCACACGCTCCACCGTCGTCGTTGTCGTCCCCACCACCATTACCTCGTCACGCTCTGTTTCAGACTCGGTCTCGGTCACCGACACTATGTGCATTATCTTACCCGGCGGGTAGAACCGCTGGCTCTCTATAAAGTCCGTTGACGATGCTGAAACCGGACTCTGGTCCTGTCCCGTGGACGACTCGCCGCCGCCGGTAATGACTGTCTCTTCCTCCGTTATCTCCTTTGCTGCCGCTGCTTCTTCTTCGATGGCTTCGCTGTCCCTTTCCTTCTCCTGTCGAGTCAGCTCTTTGTCCAGTTCGTCCCACAGCTCACCTTCTGTCACGTCTTCTTCTATTGACGATGTTTCAGTGATGACTTGGTCGATTGAGATCAACGGCTCTTCTTCTTCTTCTCCTTCATCTGATTCATCGCGATCAGATTCGCTGCTGCTTGAAGAACAATGCTCTGCTTTCTTGTGGCCCTTTCGGCCTATCACTACGGTTTCAGCAAGTAGAGCTTCAGTGCTTCTTCTTTCAGGGATAATAGCGGAAGCTTCTGGCAAGTCTGTGACTTTAGAGTTAAGCTGAGAGCTAATTGCTCGGCGACGCGGTCCTATGCAAGACCATGAAGAGATAGTTGAACGAGTCTGCACAACGGCTTGCGCTACGTCCTGTGCACGCTTTAGCATCACCTGAACAAATTTACCAAATCTATACATTTTAGTTGTTCCAAATACACTTTTCAACTCTGCAACATTTCACTCGTGATATTGGGTATCGTGAACAACAGTTTTTACCTGAGTGCCGCTTGAGACAGGCCGCAGAATCGCACCAGCACCAGCCACTTTTGCTTTGGCGCTGGCTATAGAGGGCAACCGAGATCCTATAGCAGTTGCAGACCGATAAACAACACTAAGAACCCTGGTGTGCTCGACTTGATCACGCAGGTCGTTTGACCATGAGGATGCTGTGACCTGCCAACAATTGAAACAAAAAGGGATCTTATTTATAGGAAAATGTGTGTACATATCATAATATTTCTTGAGGAAATTTGAATCAGGGATTGTAAGTGGAAACCATGAATGGGAACACTTAAGACTTAAGACCATAGTTTCCATCTTCCACTGACACACTTGTGAGTTGTGAGCAAAAGTTTTGTCAACTTGCCAAAAAAGTGAAAATCTCAGATGTCTAAAAAAACTATGCATCATCAGCAAGGGCCAGATGATATCTCTATGCATATCTTTCTACGGCAGTATCTAATTAAACACTAAGGATTGTATCCGCTAATTGATCTACCAAGGATAGCAATATATTGTACTTTTATACTTTTGACTCATATAGTATTGGCCTCATATAAAGGCAAAACAGGTAAGGTACCTCAGAACGAAGGTCATCGACAGAGGCTGCAGAGAATGTTGGTACCAAATCAGATCCATTGATAATAGTAGTAATGAAGTGCTTGCCTGATTCTGCTAAATCCCAAGTCATACAAGCAGCTGCAAGTTGTGCAATAAAATATCAGTGCAGAGCATATAATTTGCAATACTCAGAACTAATCAGCATCAAAACTAAAGGAGAAGAGCAGATAACATCAAAGACAAGATAATACCACCGTTGCATCCTAAATTAGGTATACCTGGTGCAAAAGTGAAGCAAGTAGCCGAGGCAAACTCTTTTTGCTCCCGAAGAATATAGGTTAAAAGTGCAGCCGTCCCACCCCCAAGGGAATGACCCACAATCTAAAACAAAATATACTAGCTTAGAAAAGATACAGTAGATAAAGGACATCCAAAACTTGGAAGATGTATATAATATCACATTAGTAAACAATTTGTCTAGGTCCTCATAACGAGTAGAAACAAAACATGCAACAGTATCTTTGAATCAAGAATGTATCACACGTAGCAATTACCTGAACCTTATAGCTAGGATTCTCATCTAGGGCCTTGATGAGGCAAGGAACACTAAGTTTAGCAATCCACCGAGCTGCAGCAACCATTCCGCAATGTGCATAACCTAAAACTAAGTTGCTTAGTCCACCATCATGCAAGACCGAGTGATGGAAAGGGACCACTGCACCAGTTGCTGCTGTTAATGTATCTTTAATGCTATGAGTGCCGCGGATCAATAACAGGAAACATTTCGAATTGGTATCACGTATGATCGTAAAGGCAGGCTGCATAATCTGCAGGGTTCCCAGAATTAATTGATGATGGTTCCGGAAATAAACTAAAACAGCAAATCCGAACTCAAAAGGTACATGAATTTCAACCAGACAAAACATTAGGTACTGAATGATTTTCAATCTTCCACTGATTTTAATTTCCATTTGACCAGCATGATAGTCATTATACCAAAAAGACAATTGAACGATTAGAACTATTTGTTTGTAACAAGTTAAGTCCAAAGTTTAAGACAGGGCAGGACTAAAGATCAATCACAATGGGATGTTAGGCAAACTCTTGTTAGCCACCAAAAACATATATTCCTAAGAGAAGCAGTCCAAAAACAAAGTATGAATATACAGTGCCAATCATGAGTAATAGCACGAAGAGAAAAGAGATTTGACATGACTTTACCCCTGCTTTAGGTTTCTGAAGAAGGACATCTTCATGAGTATAACCGGCAGTCTCCAGAAACACAGCAAATGGCTTCTTGGAGAAAAGCATACAGAGGGTCAAAAATCTCAGTAACTCCGTCAACTCCATGATAATCTCTGGTCCTTTTAACTCTATACAATTACTCCCAGCATAAACACTAGCAGCTGGAAAGTTCCCCTGAAGAAGAAAACAACACACAATTTCGCATCACCTTTCAGTCACTAGTCATCAAGTAAACCAACCATAATACGTAAACGGAAGACAAAGTCCACACTTTTATGAACAGAGCTCTTATCAGGAAAGTATAACGATATAAGGACTCCTTCATAAAAAAACAACTCTTTGAATTAATCCCATAATTACACATATATGATAAGATCAAGCAAGCTTGCGATTAATTATGCATCAAGTTTAACATTTCAGAGAGAACCCAGAAGAAGAAGAAGAAGGTTAAGAATGAGATCAAAAGGTGCAAACCTGCCTACGCATCAAATAGTTAATACCAAAGGCCAGATCGGCGATGGGCCATTTGCCCAGAGTCTCTGAATACGTAAACCGTAACGTCTCCGATAAAGTTGAAATAGTCTCAAGCCAAGTCGCCGGAGCCTGAGCCGGCCTCCTCACGATCCTCCTCCTTCCGGATCTCCCCGACTTACCCAACTCACCTCCTGAATCATCTTCCCCATCTCTCGCCCAAACGATCCGCCGGCTCAGTAAGTACAGAACCACCACTGCTCCCGTGGCGGTCACCATTGCACCCGCCGCCATCTCTGATCTTCCACGAATCGGAAGAAGAAAACGTTCAAATCGAATTCACTCCTCGCCGAATCTCGAAATCGCGACACGACTCGGGGATTCTGATTCTCGCCGAAACGAAACGGTATAACGAAGATTCTTCACGGATTTCGAGACATTGTCAACAGAAATCCATCATAAATTCATGAATCGAAGCTCCGATCTCTGCAAAATTCAAGCGATTGGTGCATCCCGGAAACGTTGCGCGGACCGTAGAGAAGAAGGACGAGCGATGATCGTTATGATTTCATCGATTCATGAATTTACCTTTTTAAAAGGTTAAAATTACTAGGAAAGCCATGAACACGTCGGCATCTACTCAGGTGTTTCAGGGGTATTATAGTCATTATAAGCTTACGTGGATTTCTTGGAGATAAGTAGGTAAACCATTTAAGGTTGTTTGTCCCAAAGAGAAGAAGAAAAAGGAGAAGGCAAGGCAAGTTAGGAATTTTGGATTTGCTGCATCTGCTTTAAGCGAATCATCCCTCGAGATTACGGCTCTAATCTGGATTAGCCATTGATCGTTCATTAAGCTAAACAGTGAGGAGCTCCATGAACCAATTATATTTGCTTTTGAGTACAAAACTGTGTTTCTTGTGTATCATAAAGAACATGCTTTCACGACTTTACACTCAAATTTCTATCTTTAAAAAAACTATACACAAGAAAAACAAACTAATCTTTTACTTTACCACTTTGCCAAAGTATTACTTCTGAAAATCATTTTTGTGCTACAAAGATTGAACATCAATACAAGGAAAAGCATGCAGAAAATGGTTAAATGGTACAAAAAAATATATTATACATAATCTATGATCGAAAGTCCAATCGAGAATTTTTTCACCTCTTTTTAAAGCATAAGCGTATGAAAGAAAACCACCATTTAAGAAAGTTTAAAATGAAGATAGAAATTGACAAAAAAAAAAAGGAAGATAGAAAAAATATTGAGCTCTACATTGTATCTGAATCAAAACTCTACTCTCTAGATTTAAAGCTAAACTAATTTTAATGCTTATGAACACAGGGCAATAAATAAACAACCTTTACATTTTATCTATTTGAGCCGTGTATAAATCTGAAATTTTTTCATGAAAGAGATAAGAAAAATGTTTAATTTATAAAAAAATAGCAAAAATGTTACATATATGGATCTTGAGGAAAAAATTCACAAAAATTTGGCGATCACATTTGGGTGAGATATATCTGTTTGTGGAAGTTGCAATTTGAAGAAGTACTATTGCGTTCAAATCGAATCCAATTGCAATTTGTGGTTGTTATATAACTGTTTCATGTCTCATTTTGTTTGTTTCCGTTTTTTTTTTTTTTTTTTTTTTTTTTTTTGCAAAACTGAACTGGGTTTGTATCACAACTACTCTCATTTTTAATGTTCCAATATTTAATTGTATCTAGAAATAAATTGGAAACCACAGCCCACAAAGAGCTCATTAAAAGCCCACGGAAAGTAAATAGAACTCAGAAATGATTTTTGTTTAATTTAATTTATCTGGCACGAATTTAACGCGCTACCGTTTTAATTCAATAAATCCATCAAACAAAATCAATCAAATCTTTCAATCTCAAAGCATCTTTGACTGCTCTTAATCCACTTACAAAAAAAAGTCTAAAACCCTAACATCGCCCTTTTTCAAAACTGCGTAATACAGAAGGAGAAGACGAGGAAAAAAGACAAAACGCTAGCATCTACAGACGCGTAAAACCACCGCAACTACTCTTTTTTTTCATCGCCGGCCTGAAAAATGTCGACCACCCGTAGGATCCGCGGCGAGAATCGGTTTTACAACCCACCTCCGGTAAGGAAACTTCAACAGGAGCGTGAGAAGAAGAGACTTGAAGAAGAGGAAGAAAAGAAGAGGAAAGCCAAGGAGATGCTCGATCAACAGATTACGGCTTCGTCGGAGAAGGAGATGAAGCGACCTTTATCCCCCGCTGGATCGCCTGAGGAGTGCTCCACCTCCGATTGCTCTGTGCCGGGTCGGGTCTCAACCACCACCGCCGAAAGCTCGTCAAATTTGGGGCGGTTTCTTGATTGCACCACTCCCGTTGTTCATACCCAACACCTACCTATGGTAATACTCCGATTTTTGAAGTTTTGAACTTAAATCGAACACTTGGGTTCATCCAATATTTCAATTTGATTAGTGAAGTTTGAGAATTCGATTCAGAATGTTCATATTTGGGAGTTGCAAATTCATATTCCTTCTGCATTTGTTTTTATTAATTAAAGATCATTTCTTGGAGAATTATGAAAAACATTGTGATTCCTCATGATTGAAGATAAAACTTGGTTTTATGATTAGAAATATATCAAGTTAGACTCGAAAGTATGATGCTTTATTAAGAACAACTGATGACATGTTGTTGTGCTCACTCATAGTTTATGTGTTGTTATTGCTTCAGACAAGCATCAAGGGGTGGAGAACACGCGAACCGGAGTACTGTCCCTACTTCTTGCTGAATGATTTGTGGGATTCGTTCGAGGAGTGGAGCGCCTACGGTGTTGGGGTTCCTCTTCTCTTGAATGGGATCGATTCGGTTGTTCAGTATTATGTTCCCTATCTCTCTGGGATTCAGCTTTATGAAGACCCATCAAGAGCCTGCACAAGCAGGAGGTGAGTTTGTTTCCTATCAATTTACTTATCTACTATATGATCCTTATCATCCATTAGCACGAGTGATCTGGTTCTGTGTTCTTGAAGAACTAAAGTAGACAAGCTGATATTTAGCAGTTGATTTCCTAGGTTGTTCTTATTGTTCGGATGCTTATTATTTAGTCTGTGATAGGGAAAAAACCCAACTTCTAATACCGTTGTAAGCTAGTTTCCATAGAGATATTCATTCGAATGACTAAAAGACAACATTTTTTCACTTTATCTCTGCTTTTCTTCTTTGGTTTCTGTGTTGTAGATAAAAGAACTGTTTTTTTTAATGTGGGTTAACAGGAGAGCTGGCGAAGAAAGTGATGGTGATTCGCCTAGAGACATGAGTAGCGATGGAAGCAATGACTGTAGAGACATCTCTCAGAGCTTATACAGAGTCTCTTTGGAAGAGAAACCATTCGTTGGCTCTTCGAGTGATGAGAGTGAAGCCGGAGGTAACTCTCCTGGTGACCTCGTCTTTGAGTATCTTGAGGCTGCTATGCCATTTGGCCGCGAACCATTGACCGACAAGGCAAGTTTATCGTCGCTGCTTATACATATCACAAATGTGGCTCGGCCTCGATTAAAGACGTTCTGTTCTGTCTCATAACTATCTTTTAACCTTAAAAATTGCAGATCTCAAACCTGTCATCACAATTTCCAGCACTCAGAACATACAGGAGCTGTGATCTATCGCCTTCGAGTTGGGTATCTGTTGCTTGGTACTGTATCTAACCCATCATTTCACACATTATGACAAGCTTCTTTTCCCATATCTCTCTCCCGCTAAGTTGTTTATTCCTCTCACTTTCTTGAAGGTACCCGATATATCGAATACCATTAGGTCAATCATTACAAAACCTCGACGCTTGCTTTTTAACATTCCACTCCTTATCAACACCCTCTCGAGGTAAGCCATCTCTGCATATATATATGAAATCTATGCTTGACAAAAAAAACTTGACAAAGTCACTCTTATGTATTATTTTGTAAGGTACAAGCAATGGGGAAGGTCCAAGCTCAAGCAAATCTGTTGCACCATCGAAGCTTCCATTGCCCATTTTCGGTCTCGCGTCTTACAAGTTTAAGCTGTCGGTGTGGAGCGCAGATAGTGACGTGGACGAGAACCAGCGAGTCGGGACGCTGCTACGAGCGGCTGAAGAGTGGCTGAGGCGGTTGAAGGTTACGTTGCCGGACTTCAGACATTTCGTATCGCATAGTGGTTCGGCGTGGAGATGATATTTATTTTGAGTCACTTCTGTAATCTGAAGTAATAAATAAGGAGTGATGATATATAGCAAAAGTGAAACGTTTTTCAGCTACTTTTGTGTTGTTTTTGAAGGGAAATGAGAATTTGTACAGACAGTGATAATTAGTACATTTGTTATGCTACTGTGGAGGCTTTGTTATGTAATCAATACGGATTTGGAAGAGTAAAAGAGAGCTTTTTCGTTCATATTGATTATTATACAGTTGTTTTGTCATCTGTGTGTATATATATTATTGACAATGATTCTGAAATATGTAATGTTGATTGCGTGAATGTATATGTTTTTAACTTTTTGAGTGTTACAACAAGCAGCTCTCGTAGCTCAGTTGGTTAGAGCACCCGTTTAGTAAGCGGGAGGTCTTGAGTTCGACTCTCAACGAGAGCAGGTTTGAATTATCCATTTGTTCTTTTGTGATCATAAAATTACAAAGTTGCCCTTATTTTTGTTTGTTATGTACACATTATTTTGTTTTTGGCCTTTGAAGAGTTGCGTACAATAATTGTCCTTCTTTTGATAGCCACGTACGTACGGCCTCTTCTTTTCGGACAGACCATGACTCCTCATATATTCTCTCATTTTTGTCAAATTTTATTTTATTTCTTGAGTCTTATCAAAGAGGTTTCAAACAAGTATGGCTGAAAACATCTCTTAATACTACTTTTGGTAAAAACAACTACTTAGCTTGGAAGTTAATTACAAAGAAAGATAGCCATTGGAAATCTTTTTTTTTTTTTTTTTTTGAAAAATAGGTTTACATTGGAAATCCTCTTCCTAGTAGGAGAAGTAAATCGCTACTCTTTCTTCGAAACAGTTTAAGAGTATATATTTACAGCAACATTTGGGTCAGTTTTAATCGGTTTTTGCTATGAGTTTATGCTTTTATTTGCACTATATGGCTTTGGTTATATGGAAATGTAATGTTGTCATTTTTAAATTCTTAGTTTTAGTTAATAACCTGCGCAGTTGTCTATTTATTCTTTGTATTAGATTGACAATAATGAAATCAGTTTATTTGTTTGTTTTTTTTTGTTAAAGCAGTATATTTGTTTGTTATAATATATAGTTAGTTTTATGTATATGCTAATGTATAATTGACGGTCTCATACAAATAAATTTGTCGATAAAAAAGGTAGAAAACAAAAGAAAATTGAAGTGGAACAACAAGTTCAAACTAGCATGAAGTGTACGATGAAATGAGATAGAAGAAGTCAAATTTAAAGTTAATTTTGGGGTGAACTCAAAAATCAGCTAATAGCAACTTACTGCGTTGAAGGAAAACCCCAAGTCAATAAAAAAAATGTAATTATAAATAATAATAAAAAAATGAAAAATGACAACTCATTCTTACGTCAGTATATTACACACTATTTTTAACTCATAATTCTCTGTTTCTATACTTTTATTAAACACTTCGAGCTAAAAATACTAAACTTATTTGCTATCATATTTTATTTTGAATGCAATACAAAATCCATTTATTTCATTTATAATTTTCAAATTCTCGTTTATTATTAAATAGTCATTTGATCATTTGTATTTAAAAAATAAACTCGAGTAATTCATAAATTATATTTGTAAATAACTGATTGTTGTGATTTCTGCATCAATAATGTAGCACTAAAAAGATGAGATAGGTAAATTTAATACTAACACAATATATTATCATAGCCTAAAATCAGAATATTCAAGAAATTTTCAAACAACATTTTGAAAACCAGAATAAGGTATCTAATGACCTGACCGAAAAAATCGACAAGACTCTATAGCCACAATAACTCAACAAGTCGATAAAATAGCTACTATTTGAACAAGATTCTTCTACAGCTGAGTGACGAACCGAGAAGCCAAGAGAGACTATAGGGGAAGTTTGAACTCGATAATTGCAAATAACGTCAATATCCGAAAAAGTTGGGTCAAAGATGAGTGGTGGGTGGATTCACATGTGAACTTAATTTTCATGTAATACTTTGATAATTCTTATCCATTTACCATCGACACGTTGCATCACGGGGAAGCTCTTCCCCAAATTGACATTACAACAACTATTAATTTTGTGGTCACTAACTTTGAGTTCTTTTTTTCTATAACAACTTTTGATAGCAATAAAACCTTTTACTATCAGTTAATCAACATCAATTAACTTTTTCTATAAATGATTAAAGCTAAAATTGTTTTTACTTTTGTAGTTCTACATAGGTAAGAACCGTCATTATCATTAACATTCAATTTTTCTATGGTTACTACATCATGTCATAATAAAAGATCTAATTCCATATCTGCTATTATATACGTATATGACTTCAAACTTCAGTGTTATATAAAAATGATTCATCGAGAACACAACAAGCGGATATTAAGATTTTAAACCTATATATAAATGATAACATGAGAGACTACAAGACATATAAGAGAGACCATGAATTTGATTTGTTAGAAACTTTTATATGATATATAATGTTTTATTTCTAAGGTATTAAGAAATGTATTTGATCAACTTGGTACTGTCATGACTGCTTGTCGTAAACGCTATAGAAGATGCGCCATCTATTACAGCTCCCAAAACCACATTTTCAACGTGTGAAGATGATGGGTCTTGTCGCAATAGTTCGTATGAGAGAGGCCATTTTGTTGTTGATTCCAATTAAACGCCATATATTTTATTTGGTCGGATTGACAAACCAAATATCACCATTAGGTTCATCTGTATGTGTGTTAATACAAGTTCATCTGTTATAAACTTTAGAATTTTAGTATAATATTCTTAATATGCCGAGAGAAAGTGAGAAGGTGTAACTCAACTTAAGTGGATAACATTATCTTCTTCTTTTTTTAACTTATGTAATAATTTTTGGAAAGCTTTATATAATTTTATCATTTTCCCTCCATGCATATACAATGGAAAATGTTTCTTGTCTTCTTATCATGTTCCATATACCAAGTTGTATTCCAATGTGCATGTATGGATAATTTAATAAAAAATGTAGCAAATATTTTACATTGTAATAGTGGTTTTTTCAAAAGGGTTTCATGAGTGTTAGAGTGGAAAGCAAACATAGGAAAAGATCCACCAATATCACTTACCAAAGTGAGTTGCTGCCACTTTTCCCCATGCTATTGGATACGTACATAACAAATGTGATATGTGTCTCTTAAGTTTATTATTTTTATTATTATAAGTTTCGAACATGCAAGTGGCAATGCAATTGTGAACATCGTTTTTTGTTTTGGTTCCTTTTTCTTTTCGTTTTACATGCTTAATATATAAAAAAAAAGGTTTCGAAAGAAAATCGGATTATGTTCGTTAACATTTGACCACAAAAAATTTGGTACGATCGAACCAAATAAATTGTTTTGCATCGAGCGGGAAGGGTAACTTCACTCCGAATGCCCATCTTTTAAGAGGAGTCCCCGTTTCGAACAACTCGTCTACAGACTACATATTGTGAGATGATGATGTCTTGAATCTTGACGATACCTTATAAACGAAATACATCTTTAGTGATACTATAATGCGATATTATCATATTATGCCTTAGGGTGTAATAAATATGCATGTACATATTTAATATACTTAATTAGGAACGGGGCAACAAAAATACTTACACTGACAATTTGTACTCTATTGTTAACATACTTTACGATATATTTTGTTTTTTGAACTAACTACGATATATATTATATATACATATTTTTTGTACCTTTTAGACAAAATGTTTTCCCTTTTAGGGATTAATTAGCTATGCAATTTTTTTTTGATAAGCCCTATCCGTTGATTCAATCGGCCCCGGTAGGAATGCATTCAGGTCCTACAGTGTGGACTTTTCCTTTTATTGGTTCAACGGTTTAACGGATACCATGAACTCTGAACATGCTCAGGTCGAACGAGCCATGAGATCTATAAGATCCTTGGACCACCACACTGTCTGTCCCGAATTTGAAATGTCTTCCGACTAATACCAGAGATTAGCCGGATCAGGTCGAACGAGCCATGAGATCTATAAGATCCTTGGGCCACCACACTGTTTGTCCCGAGTTTGAAATGTCTTCCGACTAATGCCAGAGATTAGCCGGATCGCCTGTTACCGGACTACTAGGTAAACTGCCTGGACCGAAATCCAAGCCCAGACTTCCCACATACATGTGATTTTTGTTTCGAGAGGGATTTGAATCTAGGTTGGGTGAATTAACACTTATACAAGTCCCCACCAACCACTTGACCACGGCCATGTGGGCTAGCTATGCAATTTTGGTTGATAATATTGTTTTGCTAGCTATATATATATATATATATATGCCTATGAAATATCACGTGTCATTTTATCTCTTATTTTTGCTAATCTTAATTTTGTTATACGATTAACAGCTTTTGTAGTTTTAATACCCATTTTAATATTTCTGTTGTGTGTATACATTACATGTAGTGTTGTTAGAAAATGCGTTGCCTTAATCATATGCTTGAATGTGCGTTGTTGTATTATTCTCTTATATTTAATGAAAACATATTTTACATGTATTTTCCCAATAATTTAATACATGTCATATACTCATAAGATAGAGGAGGCATGGCTTATAGTTTTATAATAATTCGAAATAAAACTAAACTTTGGGAGAATGATTAGATCCGAGGATAATTTGGTGAAGTCCTTCCTTGGGGTTTTTCTTGGTTAAGTATAACTGTAAAATGACGTAAGAAAATAAATAAAAGCCCGAAGAATTTATTTTTGCCAACAAAGTAAAAAGATTGGAAAACAATAATAATAGAACAATTTGTTAAGGGGTTGGATTTATAAAATGAGTTTATTTATGTTTTCATGAATGCGCTGGATCCACGCATCAAGGGTCTATGAACCCCACATTTTCTCAATTATTATCAGTTCTATATCCTGAAATTTAAAATAATATAACATAAACCATATATAGTTTGATATCTTACCAAAACAACCCATTTTTGGCTTTGCGGATTTATCATTAGCATTTACACGATTTTATAATATACGTTCTGTTATGTAATGTTTTGCAACAAATTTTGATATAAAATGAGTTCTCTACATAATATACTTGAGCAACAGAAGCTTTTTTATATTATTAAAATTAAAGAGATGAAAGTGATACTCATATAAAATACTTCAAACAACTTCTAATTTATAATTTATAAATAAATCCGTTATTGGATTGTGGAAGGTATTGTAAATTTAAATTAAATTAATGCATAAAATAAAAATCATAGAAAATTATGTATAGAGTGTGAGATGAGGAAAAATATATAAAAAAAAAATTAAAAGAAGTAAATCTTAAACGTTAACCAAACATCAATCATTTGTACAACTAAATTTTTAGTGATGACGAAATTGTGTTACTAACAAACTCGAAATCGAAAATTTCGGATCGAAATTACTAACAAACTCGATTTAAAATTTACGTTAGTAAAATATATCAGATGATGCATTTGAGAAAGAATATAAAAGTAAAGTTGATAAAGTACATGGTCTATTATATATCTGGTGAAGAGTTAAAATAAAGGGTATCTCTTCATACAGACATACAGAGACATGTATATACTATACAATAATAATACTGTATAAACAATTTAAATTTAAAAATCATTAACAGAACCTCTTATATATATAAAAAAAAATCTGTAACAGAGAAATCGAGCTTGAAGCTGAGAGAGACAAAGCCATGCTTTCTTCAACTCTCACATCTCATCTCACCCTCCCACAAGCATAACTCTTTCTTCCCACTATTATTTTTTTATTCCTTTTTACCGCAATATTTCCAAATTCTCATCATCTTGGTATCAAAATTTTCTTACTTTGTTATCCCAAATCTTTCGAATCAAAAACCACGTCAATTTTTTTCTCTCTGTAAGCATATATTCTCTTATTATTCAAACTTTGTGTCTCTTCTTCGCTTGTCGTTCGCTTTATTGGATCAGAGATGATCAATCCGGGTCACGGAAGAGGACCCGATTCGGGTGCTGTTGGTGGGTCGTCGAACTCCGACCCGTTTCCGGCGGGTCTCCGAGTTCTCGTCGTCGACGATGACCCAACCTGCCTCATGATCTTAGAGAGGATGCTGAGGAATTGTCTCTACAGAGGTACGATTTTCAAATTTCGTTGTAATTATTCACCCGAATTTATTAATTTCAAAGGTTCATGGTCCAAATTGCGTATTCCTTGTTGTAATTGTTTGTGGATAATTATGGTTTTTAATACGATGGTTGACTACGCCAAATTTAGAAAAACCATCTTTGAAATTGACTGGAAAATTTTCACCAACTGTGTAATCACTGTTAGATTGAGAGATTTTTTTATATATAAGTTCAGTGTTCTGTTCCCAAATCATTTGTGATCTGGTGTGAAGAAAAGATTTTCATTTAGTGTTTATTTTCAAGAGATCCTTTAGTTCTCAAGACGAGTGTGATTGAAATTCCTTAAATTTCTCCAAAACAAAAAAATCAAAAAATTCCTTAAAACTTGGGGATTCTGGTATTTCTTGATCTATTCTGGTTTCGATTTGATGTAGTTTTGTTCCTTTAGATATATATTTTTTTTTTGTCTTTGATGCTTTACTTTGACTAAATACTCTGATTCTGTTTCTTTTAATACAGTAACGAAGTGTAACAGAGCAGAGATCGCATTGTCTCTGCTTCGGAAGAACAAGAATGGTTTCGATATTGTCATCAGTGATGTTCATATGCCAGACATGGATGGCTTCAAGCTTCTCGAACACGTCGGCCTAGAGATGGATTTACCTGTTATCAGTACGTTAATCTACTTAATCTCGTCGCTAAACATTTTATCGTTGTCTTGAGATCTGAGTAAAAAAATATTTTGAAATCATTTATGTGTTTTTAGTGATGTCTGCGGATGATTCAAAGAGCGTTGTGTTGAAAGGAGTGACTCACGGTGCAGTAGACTACCTAATCAAACCGGTACGTATCGAGGCACTGAAGAACATATGGCAGCATGTGGTGCGGAAGAAGAAGAACGAAAAGAATGTCTCGGAACAATCCGGAAGCATCGAGGAGAGCGGCGGAGACAGGCAGACGCAGCAGCAGAGGGACGATGCTGATAACAACTCGTCTTCTGCTAACGAAGGTAACTGGAGGAGCTCGAGGAAGCGGAAAGAAGAGGAAGTAGACGAGCAAGGGGAAGATAAAGAAGACACGTCGAGTTTGAAGAAACCACGCGTGGTTTGGTCTGTTGAATTGCATCAACAGTTTGTCGCTGCTGTGAATCATCTCGGCGTTGAGAGTAAGAGAAGAACTTGTTTTGCTCTTATGCATATTTAGTTCTCTGGTCTAATCTCCACCCATCTAATGCAGAAGCGGTTCCAAAGAAGATCTTGGAGATGATGAATGTACCAGGACTAACGAGAGAGAACGTAGCCAGTCACCTCCAGGTAGAGATATATGTGACCGTATTAGTATAACGTTTTCACATTTTTGATGTGATCTAACACTTGAGATTGTGGAATTTGCAGAAGTACCGGATATATCTAAGACGGCTTGGAGGGGTATCGCAGCACCAAGGGAACATGAACCATTCGTTTTTGACTGGTCAAGATCCGAGTTTCGGTCCACTTTCTTCGTTGAACGGATTCGATCTTCAAGCTCTAGCTGTTGCCGGTCAGCTCCCTGCTCAGAGCCTAGCACAGCTCCAAGCAGCAGGCCTTGGCCGCTCTTCGCTAGCTACTAAACCGGGGATGTCGGTTCCCTCTCTTGTAGATCAGAGAAGCATCTTCAGCTTCGAAACCCCGAGAATGAGATTCGGGGAGACGATGAGCAGCGGCGGTACCAAGCAGATGAGCTTGCTTCACGGCGTCCCGACGGGTATGGAGCCGAAACAATTCGCAGGCGGTGGTCACCTGCGCCTGCAGCAGCAAATGCGCGGTGTACAGAATGCACAGAGCAGCGGAATGATGATGATGCCTGTAGCAGCTGATCAGAGGCAACCGTCCTTCCTCGGGCAACAACAACAGCCGATGTTGTCGAGCGGTGTTTTGAGGAGAAGCGATCTCGCTGACGCGGTGGCGGTTAGGAACAGTGTCCCGGAGAGTAGCAGCAGCAGCAGAGTGTTGCCTGCTACTACACACTCTGTTTTCAGTAACTATCCGTCGGAAATCCCCCGGACCAGCTTCCCGTTAGCAAGTGCCCCGAGGATATCGATTCCGGCGTCGGTTTCTTATCAAGAAGAAGTCAACAGCTCAGACGCGAAAGGCGGTTCATCGTCAGCTGCTGCCACCGTGACCACCGCAGGGTTTGGTAATCCGAGCTACGACATATTCAACGATTTTCCGCAGCAGCAAAGCAACAATAGATTAAACGATTGGGATCTGAGGAATATCGGTTTAGTCTTTGATTCTCATCAGGACGCAGCAGCTTTTTCAACTTCGGAAGCGTATTCTTCTTCGTCTTCTACTCAGAGAAAAAGGCGGGAAACAGAGTTAACGGTCGTGGCTGAGCATATGCAGAACCACCACCATCACCTGCAGCCACCGAGCCGGAGTCTGAATCAGATGAACCAGATTTACATGAATGGTGGTTCGGTTAGAGTGAAGTCAGAGAGAGTGGCGGAGACGGTGACTTGTCCTCCGGCAACAACACTGTTTCACGAGCAGTATAATCAAGACGACCTCATGAGCGCACTTCTCAAGCAGGTATCATTTTCTTCATTATCGATTATCAAATGATAACAAACTCTGAAATTGAAGCGTGACACTTTATCTTCATTATCGTTTATCAACTGCAGGAAGGACTTCCAAGCGAGTTTGATTTTGACGGTTACTCCATCGATAACATTCCGGTCTGACCTCTGAAACTCTTAAGAGTAGACTGCAAGATTCTTTCTTTTTCATCTTCCTCACTCACTCAAGGTAAAAAGAAAAAACTCTACAAATGGCGACAATCCAAGCAAGAATATAGAACGGATCATGTAATGTATCTTTAGATGATGTAATCTGCAGGAAATTCAAAAGCAGGTTAAGAGAAAATAATTACTTATTCTTCTTTCTTTCTGATTATAATAGGAGTAATGTGAAGAATTTCCTTTGGAGATGTTTTGTATTTTTGTCCTCAAGTCTTACATAAAGTCTGAGAACATTTAGGGTTCTTGATCGTCTAATTTGCAACACATTAGCAATGTTTTGCTTCTCTTCTTTTTTTGAGTCTTAGAGAACATTTGTGTACATATGTTTTCTATGCGTTGTTGCTACATTAATAATAAAGATACGGTATTGACCCGATCAATGAATATAGTACAATACGAAATTAAAAAGCTCTTAACCACATCTTTTGTGGGAATGTTCACACACATGACAAATTTACTTCATCATCACGAGGATCATATGCGCTTAGACAATTAAAGCATACCATGACATATATCCATCTCATGGCATTGCATCACAGCAAGAAGCAAACAAAGTTCAGTAAATAAGATAGTCCTATGAAGTCTATTTACTAAGCATCAAACACATCAACCTCAAGTATTCGATTTATAGGCATCTTATCTTTTTTTGCTGATACTTTCTTTTCTTTTGGCAAGCTTTACACGATGTGAATAAAGTTGGCCACCAGAATCTAAGCTTGAAGTATTTTTGATGTTATCTTGAAAGTAGCAAAGTGGCTACTATAAGCTGACCCATGATAGTGGTGGAAGACGGCATTGACCTCTCCTAAACAGTCCATTAGTTCATTTCTTATAAAAATAAGGTTCATCCAATAGTAGTAAGATACATCCTTAAAGAACTTCTTATGATACAAAACAAAGTTGGAAGCAACATGATCCATTTTAGAAGTCTAAACTTTGCGTTTTTCTTGACATAAATATATTTTAATGCAGCAAGCCTCTAAACAGTGTAACCCTCTCTTAGGTTATTACTATTAGAAAACCAGCTTCTAAATTTGTCATTTTATATTGACATGAGATCACATGGCTAAGAAATTTAGCAAGTGCATAATGTGTTCAACAAATTTATAACCACATCAATTTTTTTGTGTGATTAGAACTTGTTACAGATATTACACACCATTAAAATGTGTAGCTTTCAAAAAGTGCTTATAATAAATAATATGATTTATAAAAAATGCCTCTCAGAGTAATATTTTCCAATTAAAGCAACATTATTTATGCAATTTATTTACAAATTGTTATTTTCTTACCGGTTTATAAAAATGTTTGGGTAATTATAGTGACATTTACTCGTTCGTATTTTCAATAACTGAGAATACTAGTATTTGACAAGTCAACCCCCATAATAATGTTCTAAAAGTCGCCATCTATTGTTTGCTTTACGGTCGAATAAAAACCAAGCCTTTTCTGGAAATTTTCCAAAATAAAAGAATGTGAATTTGACCGGTTTTTGCTATCGCTTTTTTAAGTAAGAGCTGATTGGTTCGGACTGGTTTGGAGGATTTGGTGTGAGAAGTAGAAACACATGAACGACTGAGAAAGAGTAACAAAAAATAGTATACATACTCCCATTAGTAGTGATGACATTAATCAAAAACAATACAAGAATTGTAACATATCTTCATAACACCTATATATAAAGTTGAAAAAGAATCGATTTATCTCCGTCCCGGAACCTCTGAACTAACCGGTTTTTGAGTGAAACCGGGACACTGTATCGCCAACCCCTTAACCGCAGCTACACACGCAGAAACAAGAGAGCCAAAACCGGTAATGCCATGAGGAGAGCAGAGACGTGTCTCCATTGGTGGCTGTTGCTCGATGGGAGTATAGATGGGAGAGAGCACTCCTCACCGTTGAAGAACACTTTGCTCGGGAAGCCGTCTCCGCCACGGACATTGATCCCAGGAGTCAGTTTCTTGGTGAAGGAGATAACAGACTGTTGTTTCCCTGGAACCCGAGGGTTCTTTAACGGATCGACCCCGTCTCTTTCCGCTACGAGATAGTTCAGCCCGGGAAGACCTTCCATGAAAATAGTGTTGTTCTCACCGTTGATGCCGAGTGTAGTCCCGTTGAACGAGTAGGCTTTCTCGAAACCTGGTGCAGCGTTTTTCAGCTGAATAGCTGTAAACCAATCTGCCAAGTTCGTTTCTCCCCAGTTGAAGATTGTGATCCGTGCGGTCCATCCGCCTCTGTAGTCTGTAGCCAGATGCCAATTGATGCTCACTCCACAGTTATCCCCACAAGGCATTGGGTTTGGCACGGGCTGGTGTTTTATAGCAGACCATTGAACGGTGAGTATAGTTCGGTTCTCAAACGGAACAAGAAGAGCTTGCGGGGGTATTAGAAGAGCCGGGGATGTTGCGCTGCACGTTCTAGCCGCACTGTTGCTGGCACATCCACAAGCGCAGGTCTTGCACGGGACGACCGAGTCGTTGAAGTAGGCAGAGTACGATACACAGCATCTAGGACTCACGTCTTTTGGTTGTGTGATGTTGCATACCACCTGCCAGCTCGCGAAAGCTGTCCGGTTCGAAGGTAATCCACTAGGATCGACGAACTGGCTCGGGCTCACTCGAACGGGAGGTCCACACTTGTAATCCGGGTTAATCGTACCGTTGATACGCCAGTTCTGAGGCGGTGTAAGAGCAGAGATGTTAAGATCCGGAGGCATTTTGTTCACTTTCATCTCGAAAGCTGAGATAGACTTGCTGGGATCCATAGACCGGGGCAGGATCGTCCCGTTTCTGCAGCAGAATGGTTTAAATCCGTACGCGGAGTCGTTGTATTTCGTAGGAGGGAGATCTATGATGGTTGGTCGTCTTGCACAGCTCAACACGTTGGAAAAGTCGAGTCCCTGATAGTACTTGGCCTGTGGTCCATCGATACAGTCCGATGAATCGACAAGACTCGGGTAAGCACCTTTCATGCTGTCGATGAACTCGTCCCTCATCCAGTCAAAGCTCAGTTTCCAGTTATCCAGACGGCCAAGCGGGTTATTGTTCTCCATCGTGACTTGCGCAATGTAATTATCTGCATATGATCTGGTCACATCGTACATGATGGTCAGATCTCCGCTCTGTCGGGGAAGGAACTCTTTATCAATGACATCTGTGATATTATAGTCTGGGTCCGGCATGCAACATACTTGCAGAACATTTTTACCTGGCAAAAAAAAGTCAGAGAGAAACAAGGAAAATTCATGTTAAACCACGGAAAGAATAGAACAAATTTCACATTAGAACGCAGACTGTATTAAGATTCCAAGAATCAGTCAAAAAGACTAACTCTCCAATGTCAAAACATGTCTTTTTATCAACAGATACTGCGTTACCTCAGATTCTTAAGGCTCCTATGATTACTAATCTTAGTCAACCACAAAGAATCTGATGTGCTGCTAAGAATCCAATATGGTCTCTCACCATTTGACTAATTCAAACATTAGGTGTAAAGCTAAACAAAACATAAAGACTTTTTCTCCACGATGGGATCTAAACAATGTGATTCTTTCTGGAGTTTGACTCCATCTCTAGTAATCTAAGCATTGCATAAATTTCTCCTTGTTTACAGGGATCTACATTAGATACTTCATCTTCAACATAGCAAACCCAAGATCAGACAAAAGAGCTTAGATTATCATTAAAAATAAAATAAAAATCGAACCATAAATTAAGGAAGTAAAGCAAATTTCAAGATTTGAGAGGCAAATTGATGAAATTGGGATATTTAGTTACCTTTTTGGGTGGCTTTGGGACACTTCCATCCATCAGTAACGAGAGTGATGTTCGTCGGAAGCGGAACATTCGGCGGCGCCACTCCAAACTGCGTCCCGACGAGCTCGACAAGCGCTTGCATCTGGGTGACGTCACCCGCCGTCTGAATAGCCGACTTCAAATCCGACGAGGGGTAACCGGCGAACTCGGTGCCATTTCCGACGCCCACGGGAAGGCTCGAGCCGTCGGAGAGCACGGCGTTGGAAGCGGACACGAGGATCTCGCGGTGGGCGAATTTGACGAAGACGCGCCATGCTTTGAGCTCGTCGCGGCCGTGGTTGAGCACCGCAACCACGGATTCGAACCGGTACGGCTGATTGGTCGAGTCGTTAGGAGGGATCTTAGATCCTTTCGTGTGAGTGTACGAGACGAACACGCCGTTGCATAGATCGGAATCAGACGGCGGGGCCGGCTTGATGTCGCCCTTGGGTTGAGATGCCGTCAGTGAAATCGACGCGACGAGAAGCGAGAGTAGAAGAAGTAACCGAGGGATGAAGTTGAGACCTAAATTCATTGTTTGAACCTTAAAATCTAGTTTTCTTACTCAGAAAAATCGGAAGAGAAGAGAAGAGAAGCTGTTTCGAATTTGAAAAAATTTCAAACTCAGAGAGAAGAGAAAAAGGGAATGTTTTGCAAGAGATGTGGGAATCATAAAGCAACCGCGTTAGTGAGCTGAGCTGTAATGGAAATGTGCGTGTTGCAAATTCAAATTCTCAGGAAGGAGCCTTTGATTGTTTTAATTATGATTATCAGATACATATGCTTATATAGAGAGATAGTAATTAATCGAATTGCCTATATGTAAAATAAAGGTAAATTTCTTATTTTGAATTAAAGGTCAATTTTCTTATTTTGAAGTAATGATAAATATCCATATTCATTCTACATTTTTTTTTGATAGTCAACTTTCCAATACCCTTCCACATACAAAATTTCAAAATATCGATATAATTATACTAAAAAATGAAAATGAAATCACATCACGAATATTCTTAGCTAATAGATCCCTTTTGAGATGTTTTCATGAGGTTCATGAATTGAAACAAAATACGAGAAAAACTCACCAAAAAATTGTTAATTCACTGATCTTTTCAAGAATAAACGGGCCAATCCTATGGGTTTGATGCTATATGTATGAGTCAAATTCAGTGGTTATTTGTCATAAAAATACAAACATGACCGAATCTTTTTTTTTTAATGCAAAATTATTATCCAAATTAAGCTACGTAATTATAGGTAGAAGAAATACCACAACGACTCTCTTGTAGACCAGAATATATGTCCAAGACCATTTTAAATAAATTAAATAATTACACAAAATCTAGTAGTACAATTCAACTAATTATCACCAACTTAATGTGTTCCTTTTGTGAACAATCAATACATTTGAAAATTTTACATTGCTTCTTGTTCTTGTCTACTATACATCTGTGATAGGGTATTAGTTATAATAGAATGGAGCGAGACGGTGATGCTAGGGTTTTGGGAGTGGAAGAGCAAGATGCTATAATGGTGGATATCGGTGAAGAAAACGAAACCACCGAGGGATCCGCCGGATATTCGAGGGACTTGGGCTTCAAAGATGGTGGGCACGAGTGGAAGGGGATTACCAGTCTCAGAGAGTTTCCTTGATGACGCGTTCGTGAAGGCAAAAATGCATGTGAAATTCCCTAACGGAGATGATGGGGAACCGGAAATCACGATAGAGAGGGAGGTGCTACAAGCAATGAATGAGTTGTGGAAGAGATGTATTGTGGTCAAAGTGCTAGATAGGTACGTTGAAATCGCAGCTCTGAGTAGGAGACTGAGAGAGATTTGGAGACCGAAGGGAACCATGCATGTAATTAATCTGCCACGACACTTCTACATGTTTCGCTTTGAAATTGAGGAGGAATACTTGCAAGCTCTGACCGAGGGACCATGGCGGGCCTTCGGGAGTCACTTAATGGTACAAAACTGGTCGCCAGATTTTGATCCGCTAAGTGATGTGATTGAGACGACCCCAATATGGGTGAGGTTACTGAACTTACTAGTAAATTTCTATTATAAAGCAATATTGATGAGAATAGGCGAGAGTATGTGTGGAAGTCAACTTGATGAAACCTTTGAAAGGGACAATTGTAGTAAATGGGGATCACTACTTCGTGGAATATGAAGGTTTATCGACTATATGTTCCATATGCGGTATGTATGGACATTTAGCGCATGGCTGTCCCAAGCGAACACATGAGAAGGGAATGAGTGTTACACCGCAAAGGATGTAGGAATCGAATACATCGACGACAGGTGAAAACGATTTCACGGCCGTTAGGAGAGCAAGGAGGAGAGCGGTGGGGACCTCAAGTCTGGTGACTTCCTCAGCGGAGAATCCACGTGGAAATTTAGGCTGGAATCTAAGGGAGATCCCGTAAAATGGGGGAGGAGAGAATATTACGACTTCGAACAGATATGTGAATCTGGACGTTGCAGTGGAAAACTTGGAGATAAGGCAAGTTGAGGAGATTACGGAGGCGAATAAGGAAAATGAAATATTGGGGAATATTGAAGCTACATGGTTGAGTGGCGCGCAAGGGAGTGGTAGAGGGCTGGGGGAAACGTTGGGAAAGGAAGGGAGAGTGTTTAAAAGTGAGCCGATGGATAAGAGAAATGGTAAACTTAAGCCCAACAATACGGGTAGGGCTAAAGCGAACCCGAGTATTGCCAAGCCCATGGGCGGTCTGGTATTTGGCCTAACTAGGGGAGAGATGGAGCCATCAGAGTCGGGGAAAAGACTCAGAGTGGAAAGGGAAAGTGGTGGGAGACCGGGGGGAGCGTTTGTGAACGATTTAGAGGATGGTGCTGAGAATGAGAAGCTACTATACCTTAGAGATGATGGGAATTCAAGTACTTCTTTCGTTCCGGCGATAATTCCGATGCAGGAAGAGAATGAGATGCAAACGAGTCCAGGGGAGGAAGTGGTGGATTCAGAATATGCATAATGGGTCACCCCGGTGGTTTTGTCTCTACTTGTTTGGTGGTACACGATGAATTACATTTTATGGAATTGGGGGGGGGGGGGAGGGGCGAATAAACCTAATTTCATGAGATCGATCCGTTACATTTTGAAGAAATTCAAGACAGAGGTGTTGGCGGCGTTCGAGACACACGTGGGAGGAGATCGGGCACATAAAATTTATCAAGACCTGGGTTTTGATAACTCTTTTCAAGTTGATGCAGCGGGTCAGAGTGGGGGCTTGTGGCTGCTATGGAGATCGGAATTTGGTGATCTACAAATCGTAGCTTCATCAGATCAGTTAATCTATGCTAAGGTGGGGCAAGGGGAGGAGGAGCTCAACTTGATCGTGGTCTATACGGCTCCATCAATCAGTAGAAGAAGTGGTTTATGGAGTCAGCTTGGTCAACTGATTCAGAATGTAACAGGTCCGTTAATCGTGGGAAGAGACTTTAACACGATTGTACGAGCAGATGAAAAAACATGGGGAAATAGGCGTCTTTCAGGTGACTCATTGGCGTTTGGAGAGTGGATAAACGACCTGTCACTCATTGACATGGGTTTCTAGGGGAACCAGTTTACATGGAAGAGAGGGAGGCAGGAGAGTACGTATGTTGCAAAAAGACTGGACAGAGTAATGTGTTGTGTACACACGAGACTAAAGTGGCAGGAGGCATCAGTTACTCATTTGCCATTTCTTTCGTCAGACCACGCCCCTTTATACATCCAACTGGGGGGGGGGGGGGGGGGGGGGGGGGGGGGGGGGGGGGGGGGGGGGGGGGGGGCGAATAAACCTAATTTCAGGAGATCGATCCGTTACATTTTGAAGAAATTCAAGACAGAGGTGTTGGCGGCGTTCGAGACACACGCGGGAGGAGATCGGGCACAGAAAATTTATCAAGGCCTGGGTTTTGATAACTCTTTTCAAGTTGATGCAGCGGGTCAGAGTGGGGGCTTGTGGCTGCTATGGAGATCGGAATTTGGTGATCTACAAATCGTAGCTTCGTCAGATCAGTTTATCTATGCTAAGATGGGGCAAGGGGAGGAGGAGCTCAACTTGATCGTGGTCTATACGGCTTCGTCAATCAGTAGAAGAAGTGGTTTATGGAGTCAGCTTGGTCAACTGATTCAGAATATAACAGGTCCGTTAATCGTGGGAAGAGACTTTAACACGATTGTACAAGCAGATGAAAAAACATGGGGAAATGGGCGTCTTTCAGGTGACTCATTGGCGTTTGGAGAGTGGATAAATGACCTGTCACTCATTGATATGGGTTTCTGGGGGAACCAGTTTACATGGAAGAGAGGGAGGCAGGAGAGTACGTATGTTGCAAAGAGACTAGACAGAGTAATGTGTTGTGCACACACGAGACTAAAGTGGCAGGAGGCATCAGTTACTCATTTGCCATTTCTTTCGTCAGACCACGCCCCTTTATACATCCAACTGGGGGGGGCGAATAAACCTAATTTCAGGAGATCGATCCGTTACATTTTGAAGAAATTCAAGACAGAGGTGTTGGCGGCGTTCGAGACACACGCGGGAGGAGATCGGGCACAGAAAATTTATCAAGGCCTGGGTTTTGATAACTCTTTTCAAGTTGATGCAGCGGGTCAGAGTGGGGGCTTGTGGCTGCTATGGAGATCGGAATTTGGTGATCTACAAATCGTAGCTTCGTCAGATCAGTTTATCTATGCTAAGGTGGGGCAAGGGGAGGAGGAGCTCAACTTGATCGTGGTCTATACGGCTCCGTCAATCAGTAGAAGAAGTGGTTTATGGAGTCAGCTTGGTCAACTGATTCAGAATGTAACAGGTCCGTTAATCGTGGGAAGAGACTTTAACACGATTGTACGAGCAGATGAAAAAACATGGGGAAATGGGCGTCTTTCAGGTGACTCATTGGCGTTTGGAGAGTGGATAAACGACCTGTCACTCATTGACATGGGTTTCTGAGGGAACCAGTTTACATGGAAGAGAGGGAGGCAGGAGAGTACGTATGTTGCAAAAAGACTGGACAGAGTAATGTGTTGTGCACACACGAGACTAAAGTGGCAGGAGGCATCAGTTACTCATTTGCCATTTCTTTCGTCAGACCACGCCCCTTTATACATCCAACTGGACCCGGAGGTGAGAGGTAATCTAAGGAGGAGACCCTTCAGGTTCGAAGCTGCTTGGCTTAAGCACCCAGGTTTTAAAGAGTTGTTGGTAGCATCATGGGACAGCAACTTAAAGACACCTAAGGCGTTAGCTGAATTGAAGGGGAAGCTAAAGAAGTGGAACAGGGAAGTATTCAGGGATATTCAGCAACGAAAGGTGAGGCTGATGAAGGAAATTCAGGAGGTGCAGAATATACTTGAGCACAACCAAACTGATGTGTTGCTGAACAAAGAGGAAGGTCTGGTAAAAGAGTTTGACGCTCTTTTGGAACAAGAGGAGATACTGTGGTTTCAAAAGTCGCGAGAAAAGTTGATAGCTTTGGGAGATAGGAATACCAAGTATTTTCATACTTTGACAGTGGTGCGCAGAAAGAGAAACCGAATCGAAATGTTGC